CTAAGGCATTCGATACGGTTTCCATTCCCCTCTTATTGAGAAAACTAGAATTCTTGGGAGTTAGAGGGAATCAACTGAAACTTTTCGAAAGCTACCTTACGGATCGAAGACAGATGGTGAAAATAGATGGTACAACTAGTTCCGACCTCCACATAGAATATGGTGTCCCTCAGGGTAGCATCCTAGGCCCCTCCCTGTTTTTAGTTTATATCGATGAGCTCTGTTCTCTCAACATCCCAAACTGTAAGATCGTCTCCTTTGCAGACGATACTGCCCTTATATTTTCAGCTGATAACTGGGAGGAAACCTATCAAGTAGCTCAAGTTGGATTCGATCTTGTTTCCTGCTGGCTACAATCAAACCGACTTACCCTTAATGTCCAAAAAACTCAATATATGCCTTTTTCAATCAAAAAACCAACCATTAAATCCAGAAGCAACTTCTCAATTGTTGCTCATTCCTGTTCAAATCATGGAAGTATGGATAAATTGGCCTGTAGATGTCCAAACCTAAATAAATCTGAGACAGTTAAATATCTGGGTGTGCTTATCGATGACAGACTTTCATTCCAGGCTCATATTAATCTTACAGCGGGTAGAATCCGGAAATTAATGTACGTATTTAAAAAACTTCGCGTTGTTGACGATCCATGCATAATTAGGAGGGTGTATATTTCTATCTGCCAGTCTCTCCTGATATATTGTATCACCTCTTGGGGCGGTTCTGCGAAAACCAATATGATTAGACTGGAAAGAGCTCAAAGAGCCCTCCTTAAGGTATGCACATTCCTTCCCTACCGTTTTCCTACCCATGTTCTCTTTCAATATTGTGAGCTATTGTCAGTACGCCAGCTTTTTATCTTGTACACCATTCTTAAGCAGCATCGTGCTATTGATTATCTCTCCGCTACCACTCAGTCCCGTCGTAATCATCTAATTGTACGCTCGTTGTCATTTAAAACATATTATCCCCGTCGATTTTTCTGTTTCTTAGGGCCCTTTCTGTATAATAGACTTCAAAAGAAACTCAATATTTTCGCTCTTGATAGATATCATTGTAAACTCTCAGTAACATCCTTCTTGCAAAAAATTAACTATGATGATACTGAAAAACTACTACTCCCGATCAGATAGTTATGTCTCAATCCTGTTAACAACAAACTTATTAAGTAATACTTAAATTATTCGGAGCGTTTCTGGAGGTTTGTAAATGTCTGGGTAGAAAACACAATATTACACACACTATAAAATATCCTACGATCGTTGTTAGTTCTATTTTATCACTTCATCAAGTAAATACACCTGTCTGATTTTGAAGCTGTAAAGTAACAATCTGCGGGCAAGTGCATATAAATTAATTGTATGATGGTATGTGACTTAGGTTCAAATCGTGTTTTTGCTTAGTGTTCTTTTCTTGTAGTGGTTTTGAAAATCCATTATACTAACTGTGACAACGTATAACTCTTTGCTTCTTCCATAAAAATGTGCTTTGTAATTAACTTAATACAAATTTGTATTGGCTCTAGTACCGATCATTGTAAATGAAGTCGTTATTTGGATATATGTGGTATATTATATATTCTCCCACAGGTATTTTTATATGTAGAAACTTACTTTGTTAAGATAAGATAAAACGGTCACCTTACAAAGAGGAGGGTACTGGTGCACTGAGATACAAGCTTCGCTTAGTTCAGGTACCAGTCTCTCGCAATCTTATAAAATATCCTAATATAGTTTTTAATTATAAGATGTAACATGTAGATTGTTGGAGAAAATAAATAAAGTTATTATTATTATTATTATTATTATTATCATAATGTGATAATTTTGTGATTTAGATTACCAAATGTAGATAGATAATAATAAGTTAAGGGACTTAGCGTAATTATACAGGTCATTGATTTGATTGAAAGGACATTGGGCAAAAATGTATGGACGCTGCACCCACGTCCGCCACGGCTGAAACTACATTTATTTGAAAGGTATTATAGTCATCATCATTTGTGCCAAAGCGCATCAAATTCCATCCCGGGGGTCTTTAGTTATTTTAAGTTAAATAGGTACAAGTAGGTACTATACAGGGTGTAAAAAAACCTATGACAAAGACTGAAACTACGCATTCTGTACACCCAAACAAGTCATATTACAAAATATTGTACGTGGGAAAAAATTGTATTTATAAGTTAAAAAAATACATTTTATTTCCAGTACGCACTGTGTGTTTGTGTGTGTGAGTGCGTCGATAAACAAAGTTTCTAAATAACGTTTAGAAAATATTAATGTATAAATCTTGAAAAAAAAATTTTTGACTTTGACCTTCATTATCTCCATAACCATAAATTTTCCTGGTATGGTCCAGAAGAAAAAAATATCGTCATGATGTGGAAAATTCGTGGCCTCCGACTTCGTTATAGGTTTTTTTACACTCTGTATAACGAACGAGCATTAATGAAACAAGGGAATTCATTTAGTAACTTAGTTCGACCCTATATAAGGGGCTCGGGTATTATTGGAGTACTTCACATGGTGCAAGGCCTTATGTTATTCTGCCGCGCTAGAGTAAATCCAAAAACCCCCGCATGGGTTGGGGGTTTTTTCAAACATTCTGTTCTTTATAGTAAAAGTCTTCTATGTAAAACGGAGCGACCATAAATCGCACAAACTTGTCCACGCTTCGGAGAAAACATGATTCCAATTCATCCATACTAATTGACAAAACCGATAATCGTGTTCCAATGTCGAAAGCGTGTTAGGTAAAAATCAATCAAGTGACAGGGAGCGCACAATCACAACGAAGTAAGACGAGTCGACTATTTGAAACTACAAGTTCTTCAACCCCCGTAAACCGTTTTGAGGTGTCTCAGTAAGTATAAGCGCAGGATATATCTGGTTGTATAGTACGATATGGCATATTATTATAGTTACTAATAATATAAAATGAAGGTACTTTGCAATGAATTTATTTAGCTACTTAAATATGCCCATGTGTCATAATATCTTTTGACTACCAGGATATTTTTTTACGGTGTCATAATAAAAAAGGCTAGTTTTTCATAGATCTATCTATCGATTCATACTAATTACATTGTTGGCGGAGTTGGGTGCGTTTTGCCCATTGTCCTTTTAAAATATGATTTAAATACATTTTCAATTTATACACGGCTGTACTAATCGATAGGAAATAAAATTTATATATTTGTTTAGGAAAATAGATTTTTTTTTTGTAATTCCTGCCTGCAGTTTAAAATATAAATTACATTTATTATACCAATTATTTTTCATGAAACATTTTATAACGTTAAGGCAATAAAAAATGTTTTTAATACATATTATACAAACACATCTTTACGCCTAAAGTTTTTTACTTTCTTGTTGTTTAGAACAGCCAAGAATACGTTTTATTAAAGTTTATTTACTATTCCATTAAATCTGATTGACACATCTTAATGTTTTTCATTCGTTTACTTTTGTTAATTTCTTTCTCTTATCATGATTGAAATTAAACTACGCTCAATTATTTTAAACCTAAACCGTAGCTTTAGCAACAGCATTTTATAAGAGAAGTTATTGTCCCCTTTGCTGGGGCACAGGCCATCCCTATGTATGGAGTAGGGAGATTGGGCCATGACCCACCATGCGAGCCCAGTGCGGATTGGTGGGTGCTAACGACTGCAGGTGCAGCCGGGACCAACGGCTTAACGTGCCTTCCGCAGCTCGGCAGAGCTGGAGATAGTTAATTTTTGGTCACCCATCCTATGACTCAATCTAATCAGAAGCCTTCTGTCTCTCTCTTCAACCAAACAAAATTCATGTGATGTTTTTAACACGTTACAAATTGGCAATCATATTCAAGCTAACGACCAAATGTCTGACCAAAAGCCATTATTCTGGCCGAAACGTACTTTATGGATTAGAGCTAGTGGTGTCAATTCTGGCGTGATTTTCTAAACTTAAAACTAAATTTAAGGTCAGTCTCACCCTTTCCTTCTGTATAGAGAAGGACAAGGATGCACTGTTGTCAAATTTAAGTTTAGCTTTAGAGAATCATGCCAGAATCGACATCTTAAGTAATTGAACTTAGCCTAAACCGCTATATCGACTTCGATAAATGTTTTGGGTTCATTTAAGTGGGTTCTTCTGGATCTGGCCTGCAAACGGATTCTAATAATTATTTGGACAGGTTTTTGTATGTTGTAATGAGACAGGATAACTACTATTATTTTTTTAAAATACGAACAAAGTTTTCATTAAGAACCATAGATGACTCAGTTGAATTTTCAATTCAGTAGCAATTTTACATACATATACGTCTACGCAAATTTGTTTGTCTATGGTTTTTAGCATCAGCCTATTAATCTCTCCACTTATTCTCTCCAGATTGGGCCAAGATCCACAACGCGGGCCCAGTGCGGATTGGTGGGTGCTAACGACTGCAGATGTATAAATATAAATGTGGTGTTATGTAATTGATTAGGAATGATATGGAAGCTCTAACAATGGCCGCTAAGCATGGTTCTAAACTCATGCAGTCAAATATCTGCAAATGAACTCAGCTATCCACTGATTGGATAAGATAATGTAAATTGGAAATCCCAACCAATCCGATGATCGCATTTTTTCGCTCCGTCCACTTGATCGCAGTTTGCGTGGAACCACTTTAGCGCAGTTCGGATTCCATTTGATATCTAATTCGTTGATGTTATGTGGGTAGAGGAGCTCAATGGCGCAGGTGATTAGCGCGATCGTTGTAGTTAAGCAACTTTCGCAGTGGTCGGTCATTGGATGGGTGGCCAAAAATCTTTTATTTCGAGTTCCTCTTCGGAAGGCACGTTAAGCCGTCGGTCCCGGCTGCATCTGCAGTCGTTAGCATCCACCAATCCGCACTAGGCCCGCGTTGGGGGTTATGGCCCAATTTCCCTATTCCATACATAGGGAAGGCCTGTGCCCCAGCAGTGGGGACATTAATATGATGATGGTGATGTGGGTATATTGATTGTGCAGCGCGCCCGTACATCTCGTGACCGGATCTGCGGGGTGCCGCGAAGGACGCGACCACTTCCGACGTGAGTAATATACAGGGCGTCCCACGGCTACCTCACATGGAGGGAAAGTATATTAAATATTGGAGATAGGATATTTTACTGAAGGAAGACATCGTTTTATATTTAATAATAATTAGAACTGCTTTCAAAGATTTTTTTATAAATCGCCTGCTACAACTGGGAATCAAACTTCTGACACTTATTGTTATATTTTGGCCAATTCACTCAATAACTACATAAATTATTATATATATGATATTATCATATATGAGCTATATGAGTTCTTTACTATCTTAAGAAACTTTTTAGCATAGTTCCAGCTGTTTGAGGAAAAACGGATTTCGCGACAATACTGACTGGACTATAATATACAACTTTAAAGCGTTGTTGATCCTAAACAATCATATAAAATGAAAAAGGGTGTTAGGAACCTAAACATGATTTTCGATTATCTAGATAGTGATACCCCACTCGATATAAATTGTCAACTTATTTTTTTTACTTCGTCACAATATGGCGTCTAATTTTGCCCATATTGAATTTTGATTACTATCATATCTTTAGTAGCACTCCCATGATTGAGACGAATCGATTGATGTATGAATCATCAAAATCGGTCCAGGCGTTTGGTCTCTAGTGTGCCACAAAGGAACAAACATACATATATAGACTGTTAAACACATAACCCTGTCTGCGCGTCGCGCTTCGCGCTCTTGCATTGCGCAGCCGGGTAAAAAAGGTCTTCTTGCGACTGGATACCCTCCATATTCGGCAGAGCTCTTCTCTGTAGCATATCCCATGCATGCTCAATCGGGTTCAAGTCTGGCGACTGAGCAGGCCAGGGCAGGACATTGATGTTAGCTGCGGCGAGAGTCTGTCTTACAACTCTTGCGGTGTGCGGTCGTGCATTATCATGCATTAACTGAAATAAGGGACCGATTTGCACTTGTAGAGGAACGATGACGTCTGATACAATCGTCTCAGCATAAATTTGAGCGTTGAGGTTGCCTCTGATCCAAATCAACTCAGTTCTTCCGCCGATCCAAATACCCGCCCATACCATGATGGTTCCACCACTATAAGGATGGACTTCCTGGCAGGATTTTAATCGCTGTTGGCGTCCAGGGGTTCTCCAGTGTCGTATACGTATATAGATATACATATATAGACTGTTAAACATTATACCCTGTCTGCGCGTCGCGGTTCGCGCTCTTGCATTGCGCAGTCGGGTAAAAAACTATGCATATTAATAGTTAATCGCCGACTGTTCACAATGCCAGCGAAAACTTGTTCCACTAGTTTGTCGATGAGCGACAAGAGCTATCGAATATAATAGCTCGCCCAGCGATGGTTGCTCGGGTGTCCAAACGCGTACGCGTGAATTTTAGCTCAGGACCGTGTGCGTAATCGTCATTGTACTCGCACACGCGCTACTAGTCCAGCGATAAAACTATCGGAACTACACACTCGCTTTCCGCTGCTCGCCAATGGGTTTCTAGAGAAGCGCGGAGATCGCTTCTCGGCTTTAGGACAAGTGTCCTTTACTTAAGTTAAGAGTATCATATTTGGCGATGTGTTAGGAATATGGAAGAATTTCAGTATAGGCGCTTTAGCTGTTGTAATAGCAAAAATATTTTGAAACAACCAAGGCTGCCTTCTTAATAGATTTCTCGCTTTTATAACGTAGTTGTTATTATAGCTCCCACCTGGTAGATCAACAAAGCAATATATGTCGTTCCTTTCTAACATTTTATAAAGCTCATTTAAAAAAAAATACAGCTTACACACTGTACTGCATAGAAATTAATTAAAATATAATTTAAAGATTAAAATGACAGCAACAAAAAAAATTCTTTCAGTTGTATACATATGTATATTAACCATGATTATAATCCCTTTTATGCTGTAAATGTAACTTACAACTTAATTTTAATAATATGTAAATACCATTCTTTAGGTAACCCATTCAAATGGTCAGCATTCCACTCGCAGGATTATGGCTACACAAAGTTTAAAGCTTTCAACAAGACACATATCAACATTGAACAGGTATTTAATATACTGAATATATACACCCAGACACATCTATTAGCCCACCTAACATTTTAAGTTTTGACCTATATGGTTTTTTGATTTTTTAACTATCTATTAGTGTATTTAAAAAAAATATTATTATTGTTCAAATTGATCAAATTCAGCAATTTTTGAAAAAAGTACTTATATGTCTGCCATACTAATACACAATAAATTACCGCCTTATCTGCAGTCACTTCCCGAATATAAGTTTGTAAGGTGCCCGAAGCAATGGTTAATATGTATAATGCATTTTATAATCTAAAAGAATATTTTAATAATGATGTGTAAAAATGATTATTGTTTCCTCGATTAGGGTAACTGTTTTGTTTCAATGAGGGCTACCGTTTTCTGTCTCACCAGATGGCGCCACTGTTGAGTGAGTTCCTAAATTGTAACTTTTAAAGTTTATTAATACGCACAATTCACAACATTATTTTAATAAGAAATAAACCCGCGTAGACAACCAACAAGCAATAACATTTGACATTTCGGAGACCTCACGCTACACTAGCGCCTCTAGCGGCGGATTCATACGCGATAGCCCTCATTGTGTGCACTAACATCTAGCAGAAAAATGTAACAGTTTTGCAATAAAAAATTATTCTACTTATTCCTAACTTAATTATATTTTTAGCTACAGACCGTTGAAACTTATTATAACACTAAATGTGCCAATAGATGTGTCTGGAACTGTATTTTCAACATGTAAATTTTTATTCAATATTAAGTAGTGTAGAATAATTTATTCAGTAAACATATGTCTATCTTCAGATTTCAGTAGATCTCGGTGGTCAAGTGATAGATGAGTTTTGGCTTGTGAAGAACAAGGAGCTCTCCTTCAATCAACTATGAGTTACATCAACTTTATTAATAAATCATCAGATACCTCAATTGTAACATAATATTAATTTTGATCTTGTAATTATTATGAGAGTAAGAACTGTAAAATACCAAAGATTTAAATGCCCTTAGATTGTTTGCGATTTAATGGATTCACTATAGTTGCACACCATTTGCCTTATATTCATAGTAAATTATGTTTTGGTATTTTCTAACATTTAATTTTTTATTTTTGTGTAATTAAACAAATTGGAGAAACAGCTACCTCTTTTTATTTCTTTCTATTTTTAGACTGTTCCTGTACAGAAGTTCCAAATTATTATGTAATTTTTTCTTAGGTTTCTGTTTGGGTTTCATTATTTTACCATTTTGAATAGGTACATGAATACTCCTCTCTGGTTTGTTGTTCTTCTTTTGATTACCTTTATTCTTGTGCTTTGTCGGAGGAATTTGAGAAGGTTTTCTAGCTAATATATCTATTAAATAAAAATCTATACTGTTCTCTTCATACAATTGAGCTGCTAGTTTAAAATGTGCTATCAATGTAGCTGCTAACCTTGGGAATACTGATAGAGTGCAGTTTCTGTTGTGTTCAAATGGATCCTGGACACAAATCTTTGTGTCGATCCTGAGAGAGTCAAATTCGTTGCTACCGACATTCATTTTGTACATATCAAACTCACTGGGTACATCTTCTAAATTTTGAAAAACTTTCCTCGGTATAAAATTACCAGTGAATGGTGAAATTATGTCCTGATCAAAATTAACTGTGCTGTAAAATTTGAAGAACCCTCCCAGAAGTTCATAGAGGCTCTCGCTGTTGTCTGTCATGAAACTAAAGTCTTCACTGAAGGCTGTGTTCCAACCGTCCACTATAAATGTTTCATTATATTGTTGAAGTTTATGAACAGAAGGCAGTATGTTTCTCTGCTGCAAATAAAAAATTACTAGCATCGTGAGGCCATAGTTGGACAACATGTTGGTGCCTGTGAGGTTATGTACTTTGGACCAGTATTTGATGAGCACTGCCAAGGTGGCAGCTCTGTGGTCCATATGCAACAAGTGTGCCATTAATCTACTGTTTCTCACCCCAGCCGGACTTTTAAAGTTGATATCACATTGGCGATGTGTCGGAATATGGAAGAATTTCAGTATAGGCACTTTAGCTGTTGTAATAGCAAAAAGATTTTGAAACAACCAAGGCTGCCTTCTCAATAGATTTCTCGCTTTTATAACATAGTTGTCATTATAGCTCCCACCTGGTAGATCAACGAAGCAATCTACATCACTGGTTTTTATACCTAAACCAGTAACTATAGATCCAAATGGCACTACTTTACACCCTGGAAAATATAATATTAATTTATTATCTTTTATAGGCAGTGATATTTTCATAATACTTAGAAGTCTACGTTATAGGTAATAACTTAGATTAAAATAAAAGGGTAGATATGGTACGCTCATACTAGCATCAAATAAAATATGATCCGACTCAACTACATAAGCAACTCTCGCCACGCACATGTCTGTATATACCTAAACATCAATCGAGCTAGCGAGACAGAACTATATGCTTCAACGCAGCGTATTGTTGTCCTGTTCTTGCTTACAAAATGGCGATTACGTAAATAATATTCACGACAAACCATGATTTTTGAGAAAAAATGTTTTCACAGTTTTACTTAGTTCTTTATAAAAGCATCGAAGGCATTGTTATGGATATACTGTACTTCCAGGGCCCAAAAGTAAAAACTTCACAGTTTTGTTGGTTGTAATTTCGCATTTTTGTTGTTAAAAAGGTTTCTGTTAACCACATTATTAAAAAAAATGTCACACTTATGCACTGGTAGTTTTTTAGAAAAAAATATTGAAAATTTTTACTTTTCTTATCAAGTGGTGATACTTCACACTAGGTTAGGTTAGGTTAGTGTTGTGACCATAACGCGCGAGCCGAGCGAGCAAAGCGAGCGTGCCGCGGCAGCGACCGGCGAAGCGCCAGAAAAAAAAACTGTTAAAAAGACCTTTTCTACAAAAAAAAACAAGTATCACCTTTTGGGCCCTGGAAGTACAGTTTTACCCAAATTGTGACTAAAGCGAATTATGGTCGTGGACCACAATTCAAGTGGATCACTTTTGAGCCGCGAATGCCGTATCTTCCCTTTTCGTTTTAATCTAAGGGTAATTTGTTAAATCTCCGAGTTACCTGGCCATCCACTTTGAAGAGCACCTTCGAGATGGACATACAGCAGATTTAGATTGTCCACTTCTTGCCTGGTTAACCTCACATTCTGAGTGATATTCTTGACTTGTTCCTGAAAATTCCCCTTCAAGTTTAGGTAATCAGGTAACAGCTCTGTAAAAACATAAAATCACTTTTATGATCAGGTTACACCAGATGATTTGTTTAAGTTATACCTTTTTTGAGGGGTTATCGAGATTACCTGGCTCCATTTTATCGCATTGCACATAAATACACCTTTATGAATACACAAATAAAAACAAAAAGGTACAGTTAACGTGGCGATAAATTCGAAAAACTAACACAAAAATACGGCCTGATCCGAACTCACAACAAAACTGAAAAAAAACATGCATGCACTAGGGATGTATAAGCCTCGATCTGAATCATTTGCTGAATATCGATTCAGATTAGGCAAAGCGATTTATGCAGTGATTTTTTGAATCCTTGCAATGCAATCACAAAAGATAGAAAGAAGAAAATATCATATGCAAAGATTATATGAAAAATATTATAACTAAGGAATAGCTACCCCACAGAAACTAATCTCAGCCGAAGCAATAAAAACACTGGTGCCGAATGTGGCATGATTCTTTAAACTTAATTTAAATGTAAATATGTATAAAATTATTATAATTTAACAACAGTATATCCTTATGGTACCGTATACAGAAGAGACAGATGTGCCAGATGGGAGTAGTACGCCATCCCATCGATATATCTTCCTATAAAATAAGCTGATGAATTAAGAAAAAATTAATCAAGGTGTCGGGTGTTTATGCACCGTAATAGATCAGATCTATCTAACGCATTAGCCAAACTTAATCAATTTCAATCAGCAAAACAACTTAAATTTTAATCCACAACCATCGACACTTCTTAAAAGATTTGCAATATAGTTTATTTTTTTAATGTTCAGCCTTTAATAAATAATTATGCACTGTCGAATTGTCTCTTTTTTATAGTGTTCCGATAATCCGATATTGGTGCCAATTCTGGTGTGATTCTCTAAACTTAAATCTAAATTTAACATCAGTCTCTCCTTTTCATTCTGTATAGAGAATGACAAGGATATCCTGCTGTCAAATTTAAGTTTAGGTTTAGAGAATCATGCTAGAATCGACACCACTATCTTCTGAAACCAATTTAGTACAATCGACACAGGTACTGGATACTGGATACGGTTCAAAAAATCGATTCTACCATGTATCTAACCGACATCCCTAATATATACAGGTCTACGTTCAAAACCTACGCTCCAGGTGTAACAAATGTCAAAAGCTTTATTCATTTTATGTTTAAATGTTACACCTGCTGCATAAGTTTTGAACGTAGCCTGCAAACAATATTTTTCTCTGTCTCCGGGGAACGCAAAGCATTCAAATTCATACATTCTAATGTTCCCAATTACAGTAATTATTGGAATCATATTATATACAATTCATACACAAAACAGAGTGCATTATTATTACTGAGGATCAACGCCATGTTATTTATTTTCTTGATATCGTCACCACCATTACGCAACTTTCTTTTTATAGCCCGGTTGGCAAATGACTCTACCCTACCCTCTCTTAAAAGTCCCCAGATTTAGGAATGACGCCGTATCAATTATACGTGGCCCCCGGGCCACTGGGCCCCCCAACGGGCGTAGTAATGCAAAAATTAATAAAAACTTCCCAAATTTATTTTGTAGAAATGATAAAAATAAAAAAAAACATTTTTTTTCCCCACGTAAAGCGTGCGTTGGCAACACCCTTCATCAGTTATCGCGGGCTGCGGGTATTCCCCGTTTAAGTCATTTACTTGAACATCGCACAATAATCGATGTACATGCGATACGATGATAAACCACGGAGTCACTATTGTCCGTAAAGGCAAAAACTTTAGAAAAACTAGTCATCATCAGCTCAGTTTGCTGAAAAAAAGGCAAGAAGAGCGTATATATAATTTGAATTGTTTATAAGAATTCTGGAAAATTTGATTGATAAATAATAATGGTGAATAAATATTTCTTTTTTTTGTGAGAAATCTTTACCCTTCTTAAGGGTCCCCAAACAAATTTTTATACGGGGCCCGCCAAGGCACGCTACGCCACTGTGTGACAGTGCATTGCAATCATCGATTCGGGAGTTAGCCGCGAAGAGCTTTGCCAATACATCGGCTCTCTCCTGCGGCATATGAGTAAGTGACCCATCTGGCCATCGCAGAGGTAGCAGCAAGGGCTGGCAGAAGTTGTGCTGCACGGCCTTACCCATATGCAAAAACTACGGGAGCCCGTAGGGTGCGTTAACAATGGAGAAGTATACGCAAAGCTCGACATAGATGGCGCTGCAAACGCTTGACCCAAACCACAGCCGAATATTGCAGCTGTCAAATTTTTAAATGTGTTTTTTTGTTGTTAAAAATATTAAATAAGCGGTAAAAGTGTATTCAACATGGTCTGTAATATAGCTGAAAACAGAGTTGAAAAGGAGAGGAGCATCTGTGCAAGACAGAAAAGCTGATCTAGTAGAAAGGCACTCCTATTATTATGCTAGAATACTCATTCTCGGTACATAGATGCATACTTTTAACGGGCTCATTAGTCAAATCTATCTTATTTTTGCGTCAGTCAGACATCACATAGAGTTAGGTTACCTCTGGCTAAAATGGGAAGTATAACATTGGGTTTTTTACAGACTTGAGGCATATGACTGCAATTTTAATTTTGGTGCAGTTTTTTCTGATCAAAATGAAGACATGCCGATGCGATTACCTGTCCCAGATACATACCATGGTGTAAACAGCAGCTGTTTACACCATGGTGTCAGTTTACCCCCCCCCCCCTCCCCTTCATAGCAACATATAAAATTATATATTAGTCGGGAAGCGTGCAGTTTTCGTGCACAACAACCAGGAATTGCACAACGCGGCATTTGTAACTTGTTTAATAAAAAGCTTAAAAATGAATATAAGCTAATAGGTATGTATTTGATAAAAGTTTTGGGTCAAGTGATTACAGCGCCCCTAGTGGGAAAATTTTGCAGATTTCTTGTCCATTCGCGGCTATTACGCGTGCTACACGTTGGGCACCGGCCGATCTGATGTAAGTCTTCTTGCAAGATTTGAAAGCACTATTATAGGCAGCTTTCAGTGAGTCATCCCCGGGATCCTTGAGAGCGCGGCCTCTGACCCAAACGCGATATGCCGCCTGTTTACGTGAAACAGCATTAGCACAGTCGCAATTAAACCAGCAGCGGTTACGTGTGCCCAGACCGGTCTTTCCCAGTAGGGACTTTGGGCAAGTGCCTAGGGCCCCGCGATAGATAGGGGGCCCCCTCAGATCAAATACAAAGTCTCTAGTTCCTGTTAATTCACCAAACGGAAGTCATAGGGGCCCCATTATCCTAATATGCCCAGGGCCTCCAATAGGTCAAAGACGGCACTGCGTGTGACCTTACTGATGAGATCAGAATGTGGAAGTCAATTGAATTTTATACCAGAATACTAACTTTTTAGTTATAAAAAAATCTTGTTTAAAATAAGAAACATGTTTCAGCAGGATTGAAGTGGCGGATCGTTTTTTGCATGAGGAAACATCATTTTCCTTTTTTGCGAGAGCTCCGACTCGCGACACGGTACTATCCAATATGGTAGCGGTCGCGCGTGAACTAATTTTTATAAATAAACGTAGTGGACTAATGATCTACCCTTTGACGGTGGGGAAATGCCTTTAATAGCGTCTCCTGTTATAGATACTCTTAGATCTACATACTGTTGGTTGTTACACAAAGTTATTGTAATATTATCTAAGAATATTATATACATAGAATGATCTATGCATGAAATATAAAACATAGAAATAATAATATTGATATTAATTTTGTTTGTATATTTTTTATCAACTATATAAAAAATACGTTTCACGAAACTTGAAACTTATGTTATGTTTTACATGTTTAATAACATGCTGTGTTTCTTAGCACATGCTCTGCTTAGTTTAGGATTAAACAATTTTATTATTGTGAGCAGTCCTATTTCAGAATCAGCTCGATTGTAACCAAGCAACAAACAATCACTTGATTGTCGCACATAGAGACTGTTAAAGTCATTTTCCACATAAATTCACTTACCATTGGGGATACCATTGGGATTTGTGTAGAGCGTGCGTATGTCGCATTTACAGCTTATATTTTTTACAACAATTCTTAAAGTGTAACCCACCAAATATTTTTTAAAATTACCATTGGGGAATAAAAATAAAATAAAACACAATCAATTTTACAATGAAAATAAATTTCTACAAAACACATGTTTAAAAAAAACACGAAATGTCTTCTTAAGCTTAATCAATAAAATAATTTGTATTCACTATAACAATAGGTTTGGATCGCGGCTCCCTTCGTGGCAGAGTACGATCGGGTCGCGTGTCATGGCTCAGGCCCAATTCTGGTTTGGACGCTGGAATTGGTCACCACTAAAGGTAAAGTCGTTTCCTCGTCCGATTCTAAGTCCAAATTTTCCATATTTGAGTCTAGCACTTCTATTGTGTCCGCTATTTTGGCAGCGGTGTCCTTTTCTGCAGGCCGAGCATGCGGTTTGAGCAAGATCGTGAACCAACTCTGCATGACTGATATGAAGAATTTGCCGAAATCTCTGAACGCAGTTAAGTCGCCGGTGTTCAGTTTGATCGCGATCACCGCGCTCTTCGGCTCATGACGGAAAGTCAACGTCAACTGGAACTGCAAATTCAGCACTTGCTTGTCCACCTTCTGGATCTCCTCGGTGATCTTCGCCTGCTTCTCCTGGAAGCCCAGGTTTATGACGCTGTAGAGCCGCGAGAACTGCTTCCGCTTCCATATCGCTTTCGTCACGTTGCCCATGTATTTCTCCTTCTCTTTTCTCGAGTCGGGGTTCAACTTTTCCTCGACTTTGCCCAGTTTGATTTTGAGCATGTCCTCGAATATAGTGAAGACTATATCCCTGACCACCGGCTTCCAGTCAGGGTTGACTATAGTGGCCACGATGCGAGGGAACAAATTCACCCTGAATTCGGGGTGACCTTTAACTTTCACTACTTTCGGTTTGTGCAATAGTATGGTCTCCAAGAATTTCTGGCATTCGTTCGCTTTGTCATTCTCGTACGCATCAGCCGCGAACTTGAAGTAGGCTTTCAATTCCGCCGTCAATTTGCCCGTTATCGCAGAAGCGACGTTGTGGCATTGTTCGAAAGGGTCTTGGACACACATAGAAGTATTGCATCTAAGCGGCAGCACTAAGTTGTTGACCACATTATTCCTGTATCTCTCGTACTCCGGAGGTAGGAGATTCATATCTTTGAACACTTCCTTTCTTACGGGAACTGCTAGATACGTGCAGACGACAAATTCTTCAAAGTTGAATGTCGAGTAGAAGCGGAAGAATCCTCCCAGGAGATCTAATAAACTTGTTCCATCGTTGGATCTTGGTAATTCCTTCTTATAAGCAAATCCTGTATTCCAGAAGTCTACAACGACGTCGTTAGCTTGGTCTCGCTGAAGTGAATATATGCTTGGGAGGATGTTCAAAGGGGGTAGTTGAAGGTAGAATATAATGAGTAGAGTTAAAGCATAATTTGTCAGTTTCCCTGTTCCGGATAGATCGTGAACTTTGGCCCAGTATTTGATGGTGACAGCTAGAGGTATAAGCCTGGGGTCTGCGTGGAGAAGGAAGGCAATTAGTTTGCTGTTTTGGGCTCCTAGGGGAGTCTTGAAGGTGAGATCACAGTTAGTTCCGGTCGGGATGTGAAAGAATTTCACTATGGGAGTGTTCGCTCGCGGTATAGATAGGATCTCGGCGAATACCTGTAACATAACAAATGTTTTATTTATGTGATTTTTGTAGATTTTATACTGTTTATTGGTACATACTCAGTGATGGCAGATTTCATTAGTGCAGTAGCTTGATACAATTATAAGCAGTTGCAATTTCAGGGAACTGATTGGTGATAAGCACCTCGATGGCGCAAGTGGTTAGCGCGTTCGGCTGCGATCGTTGAAGTTAAGCAACTTTTGCAGTGGTCAGTCATTGGATGGGTGAGCAAAAATTTACTATCTTGAGCTCGAGGAGCTTCAGAAGGCATGTTAACCGTTGGTCCCGGCTGCATCTGCAGTCGTTAGCACCCACCAATCCGCACTGGGCCCGCGTGGTGAGTCATGGCTCCGTCTCCGTATTCCATCCAAAGGTAAGGCCTGTGTCCCAGCAGTGGGGACATTAATAGGCTGATGGTGATGAATTGATGCTAGCTGCTGTATACATATAAATCTGCCAGAATGATTTATTGAATTTGAATAACAGAATAAATTGGAACGCTGGTAATATTTCCAAACCGATACACCTTCAAATGCAATCTTTTTATGGAAAATTGGAATAGGGTATTTGACAAGTTTTAGAAAACGATCTCACGTTATTGACTAATGTTTATGGAGTCCGTAAAAAGTGGATATGAATCATTCTGTTGTGTATTTCAGTAAAAATAACCAAATCGAAAACTCCATTTTCAAGACGCCGCGAAAACGTTTTTGGACAATATGGCGTCTTACTAGTGTGTGACGTCACACGACCGTTATTAAAACGTCAAACGATACAATGTAATGTCACTTTAAGCGGAAGTTTACTTGCGTGTGACGTCATTTTAGACTTCGCCAATCTCAAGCGTTTCGGGTCACGTGACAATAGATAAGAAAACTATTATCTTTTCGTGGGTTTTTAAGTACAATTATGAATATTTTTTTGTAAAACTAGTAAAAGCCCCTGCCAATATTCATTCTAAACACAGATGCTAACAATTTTTATTTTTTTTTATTTTCATTAATTGTAATTTGCGATTAGTGCGTGCCACTATAAGCAAATGTGTTGGATGAACATTGGGGTGTCAGAGTGTGCCCTTCAGTAAGGACATCTCCTCCTTAATTCTCTTTATAGGACATCTTTCCTTTTGAGTCGTTTGTTATAACTCCGAGTCATGAGTTGTGTTGCTAGTATGTTCGGGTGAGTCTCCAGCCTAGCCCGGTATTTCTGAGTCGCAATGGTTATTTCTTCCTTGACTGTTGACATTTCCAGGTGTTCATGAATTTCATTATTAGTGATATACCATGGCGCATCGCTAATAGTTCGAAGGATCATGTTTCGGGCTCTTTGAATGCAAAGGATGTTGGAATCGTTAGCAGTACCCCAGAGTCGTATGCCATAGGTCCACTGTGGTCTAAGGATAGTTTTATATATCGGTAACTCGTTATCTATTGACAATTTGCTGTTGCGGCCCAATAGCCACAAAAGTCGCTTGTGGCGGATGTTAAGTTCCTCTCTTTTTTTCTAACTATGCTAACAGTTGGCACTTAATTTTGAATACTGTCAAATACCCTGGTTGGTTTCTACCACTTTCTAATAGGTGTGTCACAATTTGTGTGTGTTAAATTCTGATGGGTAAATATTAATTCAGAAATTCAATATAAATCTAAATACTAAAAAGTAATAACAACAGTAATAATTAATAATTTTTGGTGAATGATAATATTATATATAGTTATATTATAATAACTTATCAATAATAATTTAATAATCTTTTTAGTTTAATAAAAATATAATCTAATTTAATTCTCCTAATAATAAATTAATCACGTCACGTCGATGTCGTTTCACGTTACGCGCTTTCTAGGCAGAACTGAAAACCAGTGCTTTGCTCTCAGAGCAAAGGTATCGCTGAGTTTTTGCCTTTTTCTGTCGTTGCGGCACACAGTTACATACCTAGTAATTAATTGTTCTATTTTTTTACTTGAATTTGTGTGCTGTACTGATGGGAATAAATGATTTATCTATCTATCTATCTATCTACCCGATTGGATAATGGTTCGCGTTTCGGGTGTTATAACCCGTTCCCTGTGAGATTGTGACATTACCTTGGGATGCAGCTCCAGCAGCCTCCTGGCCTTGTTGACGTGGTTGGCGTGGGGAGTGCGGTGATGCGGCGGCAGCAGCACGAAGCAGTCCGCGTCTGACGACTTGACGCCCAGACCCGTCGTTATGGACCCGAACGGGACCGCGGAACACCCTACATATAAACATCATCATCATCATCATCAGCCTATTAATGTCCCCACTGCTGGGGCACAGGCCTTCCCTATGGATGGAATAGGGAGATTGGGCCGTGACCCACCACGCGGGCCCAGTGCGGATTGGTGGGTGCTAACGACTGCAAATGCAGCCGGGACCGACGGCTTAACGTGCCTTCCGAAGCACGGAGGAGCTCGAGATAGTAAATTTTTGGTCACCCATCCAATGACCGACCACTGCGAAAGTTGCTTAACTTCAACGATCGCAGCCGAACGCGCTAGCCACCTGCGCCATCGAGCTCCTCCTCGGCTCCCATATAAACATATAATGAATCAACCTTACACATAAACATATCTATAATATAAAAATGAATCGCTGAATGTGTTGCTAGGCGCAAATCTCCGGACAGGAGAACGGCTGAACTGGTTCCGATAATTCTTTTTTTAGAATATTCCTTGAAGCACGAGGATGGTTCTTACGCAGAGAGAAATTAAAAAATACTCTCATACAAACGATTCGTAATAATACTTAAAAGTCAATTTGAACTATAATACCATACCATAAATTTCAAATGTTAATTCTATTTTTTTTTTTTTTAATTCTATATCGTTTATTCAGTCTAGGCTGTCACAAGCACTTGTGAATGTCGAAAAGCTACGCCATCGGTTCGCAAAACTACGGCGGGAGACCTTGCACTGAGAAGAACCGGCAAGAAACTCAGCAAGGGCTGCTTTTTTCTCCCTGTTTTATTTCATACAGTGTCGTCCAATTGAAAGTTGACATCAAACTTGCAAACATGAGTTGAGGTCAACTTCCATCACATAATGTCAAATATGTAACAATCAATGAATTTACTAACAATAAGTGCAAAGATAAGTCCCAAAATAGCAAGAAACAATGTTAGTGGAGAGGTTCCGGGAAGGCAAAACAATTGAGTGACGTGATGTCAATAGGTGTTTGGAAAAGGCAAATATACCATTTTCAGTTTTTTTATTATAATTATATGAAGAGTCTGTCATTTTAGTCTACACTACAGCTCTACACCGAAACGAAGCGAGGGCGGAGTCTAATATATAAAATTCTCGTGTCGCGGTGTTTGTGGTTAAACTCCTCCGAAACGGCTTTCCCGATTCTCATGAAATTTTGTGTGCATATTAGGTAGGTCTGAGAATCGAACAACATCTATTTTTCATCCCCCTAAATGTTAAGGGTGATCCACCCCTATTTTTTTTTTCAATTTTAGATATTTTTTTTATGATACATCATACACAAATACATACAACCCTAAATTTTCACCCTTCTACCACCAACCCCATTTTTTTATGGCGGTACGAAGTTCATTGGGACAGCTAATATTATATAAAATTTTCGTGTCACGGTGTGCGTAATTGAACTACTCCGAAACGGCACGACCGATTTTCGTGAAATTTTATATGCATATTCCGTGTAGGTCTGAGAATCGGCTACTATCTATTTTTCATATCCTCAAGTGATAATGGTTGTCCACATGTAACGTAGTGTTCTGAAACCTTCAATGCGCCTTCGCGCCAAAATTTAAACTATTGGGTATTGTAACGTAGTGGTTAGGAGGAATGCTATCCCAGGAAATTGATAGAACACTATGTTACAACACCCCTTAAATCATTTTTGGACATTTTTTTTTATAATGTTGTATTAAAAATACATACAACCCTAAATTTTCTCTTCTACTACCTGCCCCTATTTAATGGCGGTACGAAGTTCACTGGCTCAGCTAGTAAATTTATAAATAAATAAATATTTCCAACACTCACACCAATTAGCTTAGCCCCAAAGTAAGCACTGTAAATTGTAAGGTATGTGCTATGGGATACTAGGGTAACGGATAGTATATACTGTACACACATAAGTATATTTATATAGAAATACATATTAAACATCCATGGTTGGAGTACAAATGCTCGTATTCATCACACAAATATCCGCCCCCACATGGATTTCAACCCAGGATCTCTAGAGTCGGCGACACCATGAAACCCGGCGTACGTAAGTACAAACCACTCGGCCACGGAGGAAGTCAAAATTGTCTAATGCAGTGCGGCGTAAGGGTGAAAACGCTGGATGGCTAGCTGCGCATGTCAGGGGGTATGAGGGGAGAGACCGTGCAAAGAGCTTGTCCCCAGGATATCCAAGGGCGGATCCAGAGGAGGGGGGGGGGGGGGGACCCCTGGGCTGGGTCCATCTGTACCCACTTCACAATCTGTACTAGTGATGTAACGAATATTCGCATACGCATTCGCGAATATTCGCATACTTTTGAATATTCGCATTCGCGTTCGCAAAATCTCTGCGAATGTTTTGCGAATATGAATATTAGAAAAAAACAATTCGAAGAAGTTGTAGTTCTGCCTTTCCTTGAATATTCATTGTGACACAGTTTGCATTCACCTCGTTCAGCATCGCAAAGTGTGAAATAAGTCCATGTTTCACTAGAATTCGATTTACTCATGTTAATAAATCACTATTACCACTCCCAATCACTAACCTCAAAATTCACTTGTTTCGTTTACGGAAAGACCGGTGCGAGCGGAATGACACTTCAGTTGGACGAGTTCATATCAACTCGGCAATTCGAACGAGACTGCCACCATGCCATAGACAATTAGCACCAATTAAAAAAAAAAGGAAATATTCGCATTCGCATATGTCGGTACCAGACATTCGCATTCGCATTCGCGAATGTTCTAAAAATGACATTCGTTACATCACTAACCTGTACCCACTGTGATTTGACCACGACTATATGACCCCCCCCTGACGCCAAAGCTGAATCCGCCCTTGAGGATATCTTCACTTTTATTTATAATGGTCAACGCTTGAGTTTCCTGCCGCGACTTATACATCATTAGCGGCCCGCCCTCGCTTCGCTTCGGTGTAGAGCTGAAGTGTAGACTAAAGTTTTTGTTCTCAGGCTTCTTTCTTTCTTCTTCTTATACCTGCATGCAAAGTCTCAGCCCGATCGGTTTAAAATTGACAAAGTTTCATACAAACTTTCATTCCCTATTTTATCCCTTTGGGGGTAGAATTGATCAAAATCCTTTCTTAGCGGATGCCTACGTCATAACATCTACCTGCACACCAAATTTCAGTCCGATCCGTCCAGTGGTTTGGGCTGTGCGTTGATAGATCGCTATGTCAGTCGGTCACCTTTGAGTTTTATATATATACATTACCCGCGTAGTGCGGCCGGAGCGCATTCTCCACGTCGGTGTATAGCGCGGTGAGGGCGGTGACCTCCTCCTGCGTGAGTCTCACGGCGGCCAGCAGTCGCTCCAGCTGCTGCGGGAACGAGCCCGACAGATCTATCTGCGCCGGCTCGATTATTGTACCTGCGTCAGGGCATCGTCGTTACGCTATTATTTCCATCTACACCCATGCTTTAAAATCTCCGTTTAAGATTTTAAAACAGTTAGCTCGTTTCCAACATGAAAACATTCAATGGTGTCGATTCCGGCGTGATTCTCTAAACTCAAAACTAAATTTAACATCAGTCTTTCCTTTTCATACTGTATAGAGATGACAAGGATACACTGTTGTCAAATTTAAGTTTAGATTTAAAGAATCGTGCCGGAATCGACACCACTGTCATAATAATAAAAATAAAAAAACCTTAAATAAAACAGTTTGAACGGGTTAGATGCACTGATTTTATTTCTTTATTGACGTTTCGCATTCTTTGCAGGAATGCGTCGTCAGAATAATGATTTTTTATTTCAAATTTAATGAGTGATGTGCATGAAAACCTAAGAAACAAATATAAAAAAGAGTTTTATTATGTATTGTAATTTAATTCATAAACTCGACTCGTATAGTTTCCTTATATTTACATAATTATAGACCTGAAAAGAGACACATATATATGCTATGAACAACGTGTGTATCACTATACAAACATCAAATTGGATACCTTTGGCCTTTGTACACTTTATGGATACCTCGGTTACCAAAGAGTAATCTACAGTCGGACCACGATAACTTTGCAGAGTCAATAATCTGGTTACACCAGAAAAACTTGATCTTGCAGCCCTTATAGGAGGTCATTCACAATTGTCATATGTCATGCAAAAACTTTTATTCAAAGAACATTTTTTTTAAATTTTTTTGTTTGTGGAGTAAAAAGAAGAGAGAAAGCTGGAGACAGAGAAGTTGTTTATAAAATAATAAGTCATAATAAATCTGCAACAGAACAAATGAAGACGGTTCTTATGCAAAAAGATCAATGTTATAGAGCAATCCTAACGTCAACAAGTGAGTTTCAATAAAGTTTTTGATAGTAGTTTATTGGTGTATTGGTATTTTTATTTACATTTCAACAGTTAATATTCTATATAAAATATGAGGAACAAAGGAGAACAAATTTTGTAACCAAAAGCCAGACTCAGATCTGTAACATATACTTAGTACTATCTCTAAATAAGTAAGTAAATTGTTAATTTACCCATTTTTGGTATTGCCTATTATTGGTAATCAGAAGTTAACTATTTTGGAGACAAAAAAGTATCAAAATCAATCAACTCAAACAAAATAGCTAAATGTCTCTTGAAATTATTATCACATACCTTTCTGTTTAGTTCTAGGGAAATCTTTTTTCGGCGACGATTTTGCTAATTCCGCTGCCATCTTCTCATTGTGCAGTTTCACAATCAGGAATTCTCCATACACATTGACTTTCTTGGACGCTTGCACAGCTTCCAATGCAGCATCTTTGTTGGTGTAACTCAGTATGGCGAATTTGGGGGTCAACTTGTCAACTTTCACTTCTCCGAATTTGCTGAAGATTCGCACCAAGTCTTGGGGTTGAGAATACTGTGGGTATCCTATGTAAAGAGGTGATATGTTAGTGTTCATGAAAAGGGTGAAATTGAAGTCAGGCCCTAGGTAAAGATCATAGAGGTTTAAACCCATTATACAACAGATAAAATCCCAACTCCGAGTTCACACTGCAAGACCAACAGATAGTATTAGTTCTTTTTGTTTGCATGATTTAACATAAGATGGAGATAGAAAGCCACTCTGAGTTTGTTTCGCCGGTTCTTCTCAGATAGGTCTCCCAAATTTGGAACCGGTAGTAGTTTACGGTAGATAGGGTCAATTAAATAAACTCAAAATTATAAAAAAGGAATTAAATTGAGTACTTTATTAATTAAATTCGGTAATAAATTCATACATAGACAATAGAGCTATTATTCCGCCGACGCATTCCCGCGAAGAGATGCGAAACTTCAATCTATACTAATATTATAAAGCTGCAGAGTAATCTCTGGAACTCTGCGACTTGCACATCACTCAGATCGATCTTGGGCAACTATTTAAATATACTTGCAAATACGATTTAAAATGCTGATGTTAAACAAAAAAAAACATAAAAAATCGCGATGAAAAGTTTCTTTAAAAATATTCTAGCAAAAAAATACTTAATTTACTAATTTATTTTGACAATGTTGTCGATCCTGGCATAATTCTGTAAACCTAACTTAAATTTGACTACAGTACATCCTTGTCATCCTCTTTACAAAGTCAAAATGAGTGACTGATGTTAAATTTAGTTTTAAGTTTAGAGAATCATGCCAGGACAGCATAGTTGTTTGATTCTAAGAGCTTGAACTTTACAGGGCATGACTCCAAATCCACCCTCAGAAAAGTTAAGACTCGCGAGCCAAATAAATATTATGTAATAATTGTGAGCTTACCATGATGCTACAAAAAGAGCAAGACCTGGTGTGTAACATGACTATGGATGGTGAAACAAGCACAGTGTAATAAACTGATGGGTTCATAAAATATTTAGGACTTTATCACTTAGATCAGGAAAAAAATACACTTTGAAACTGTCGCATTGCATTGAAAATACATTTCCGGTCACATTTACCCACCTAGTGTTTTAAACTGTTTTTTTGAAAGTTTGACCAGCCCCTAGCTAAAAATAAATGTTTAAATAAAACATTGAGCAACACAGTTTTAACGCAGTTCTGAAGCTGATTTATGACGAACATACGAAAGCCAACTTTGCCAACAAATGAGCTTCAAAATAGGGTATTTGACAGTATTAAAAATAAAGTGCCAATTGTTAGCATCTGTGTTTAGAACAAATATTGACAGGGGTATTTGCTATTTTTACAAAAAAAAATATTTATAATTTTACTAAAAGCCCACGAATAAGATAATAGTTTTCTTATCTATTGTCACGTGACCCAAAACGCTTGGGATTGGCGGAGCCTAAAATGACGTCACACGCAAGTAAACTTCCGGTTAAAGTGACATTACATTGTATCGTTTGACGTTTTAATAACAGTCGTGTGACGTCACACACTAGTAAGACGCCATATTGTCCAGAAAAACGTTTTCGCGGCAACATGAAAATGGGAGTTATTGATTTGGTTATTTGTACTGAAATACACAACAGAATGATGAATATTCACTTTTTACGGACTCCATAAACATTAGTCAATAACGTGAGATCGTTTTCTAAAACTTGTCAAATACCCTATTGCACAAAAACTTATTGCTCAATCTAACAGAATATATTTTTGATACAGACCGTTGAAACTTCTTAGTGTTTAAGTTTGGGCCGATATATGTGTCCGGAAGTGTGCAATATTATACATGAGTTAAAAGATTATTGTGATTTGATCGTCACCCAGTCGTTTTGTGACACCGGTGTAACCTGATAGAACCACCATATGGAATGTACGAAAAACTTCTTTCATCGTGCATGTTCCTAACCCGTGTATAATATTACAAAAGAAATATTTTAAACCAATTTTACCATTTAAATGAATGTGATATGAATGATTCTGAATAAAATGATGGTAAATGGGTTCATATGGATTTAGCAAAAGCTTTGGATAAAAAAAAATCGAGTCAATCTTGCCGGTACATTGTTTTCAAACCAAGCAGTTAAAACATGAGGCACAACGTCAAATTTTGTATGGAAGGAGAGCTAGTTTGTTCTTCGGACGTAAGAACAAACTAGCTCTCCTTCCATACAAAATTTGACAATGCGATATGATTACGGAACTGATAAAATTCGTGTTTGGGCCTATAATGTTAACAAAAAAAAATAAGCATCCATTTTATTTATTTATTTATTTATTTACTAATTTAGTACACACACAATAAAATAGATAAGAACAGGAACAAGAAATTTGTACAAGGGCACTGCTTATTTCATATTGAAATTTCTTCCAGCAGGCCCGCGAAAGGAAAAAACATAAAATAAAAGGTCGTCAGTGTGTGTCTCCTGAATAAAAATAACAAAATACACCACTTACATAAACAAAACCTACATATATATCTACATAGACATACTAATAAACATATATACTAAATTGAAATATACAAGTGTTAAAAGGAGAAGCAATACAGTTAGGAAACAGTGAGTCAAGAGGATAGCTAGTGTTCCTTCAACCGTTTTTTAAATGTAGCAACAGTTGGACTGCATTTGGTTAAAATATGCTACGTTACTGTAAGTTTTGTGGCAAAACAATATTTCTCTATACGCACTAAATTTTCTTTAATTAGTATTTCAGCAGTAAACAGCCTAAATGAGGTTTTTTAGGAAAATATACGCCACCAGTTGGCGTCACTGTGACATGAGGTCTTTTGTATGAAGCAAAAGCAATATCTTTAGCGTGAATTAATCGAAATGTGCGAAATTCTGTAGTTTAAAATTTAACTTTCCAAATTAAAATGCCATTAATGCCCAAAGAGACTTCCATACAACTTTACCACCCTCAGCTTGTAAAAGCTTACTTTAAATTGAGAATGCTTGATACATAATACATGCTCCAGATGCATGTGGTGTATAAAAATGCATAACTGACCTGTAACAATAACCATCACTGTATCAGACTGGTCTCGCCGCTTCCCGCCGCTAGATGTCGCGGTCGCAGTCTTGGCCGCATTCACGGTCGCAGTCGTGGTCGCATTCACGGTCGCAGTCGTGGTCGCATTCGCTTTAGCGGTCGCTGCGGCATTCGCGGTTGCTGTCGCGTCCGACCCCTCCGTCGCTGGTTCCATGTTTCACGGAAACAACTGCTCACCTGCATTACATAAGGCATAAGAGTGGTAGGACACAGAGGCTTTCTCGTTGGATTTGGAGCGCCTGTCCGTCGAAGTAATCTCCACAGTTAGGTTCCAGGGCACCAAGGGTTACGGGATTGGATAGGGGTAGGCAACGGTGCAAATAAATTTTTTGGTATATTGTTTTAAACTTTCATGGTCACTAACATGACAGTAATATAAGCTATTTACGGTGTTACTCCGTGATCGTGGCGTTTACAACAGTGCTGAAATATCCGAAACTCACTAAGAACAGGGTACATGGTAACAAGCCCTTAAATAACTTATTATTATAATGATATTTTTTGCATCGCAAGCGTCTATAGGCTATGGTGGCTGCTTACCATCTGGCGGATCATAAGCTTGATAGCTACCCTTTTAACATAAAAAAAAACAAAAATATTTATACTCTCATTCAGACTCAATGTTATAACGATTTATTCTCTCTCTTAATTTAAAAGCGACACTCTTGACGTAGTGCAGTCAATAGATGCCCCTGATACAGGGCAGCAGCTGTGTTAGTACTGACAGAAAGCAGCAGAATAGTTTTATGGAACTTCAGTTAAAAGTCTAGGGGAATGTTCATAATTAGTGCAGTCTCTGACCTAATGGAGGCCCTGGGCATATTAGGATAATGGGCCCTGTGACCCCCGTTTAGTGATTTAACAGGACTAGGGACTTTGTATTTGATCTGAGGGGGGCCCCTATCGATCGCGGGGCCCTGGGCACTTGCCCAAAGTGCCCACTGGGAAAGAGGGGCCTTTTCATAGTAAATAGTAATATTGCACTATACTCTCACTAAAAATAGCTAACCATTTATATTAAGCCGAAGTATTCCCAAAAGATTGAGGAGATAAGGCTAACAACAGTTTATGTCTATATCTGTTTCAGTTATAATCAAACAATCTACTTAAGTACTGGTATGACATTGAATAAAGTGTGTGCATCTTTAGGGGAACCCCCATTAACATTAATTTTTGAATTCACTAGAAATCACAAACATAATCTGATATCTAATCTAACTGATTACTTATGTGATTGATTATGTGATCCTTAAAAATTTGTAACAAGACATACAAGCAATGCAAAATATATAATTATACAGTCAAAACTGTAAAAACGATGGTTAGGTTATTACAACTAATTGGCAAGATCCCAGCCGAATCCGAATTACAAACCTTTAAATAAACAAACCGCATATAATAACATCGGAAATTGTGAAATATTGCTTAAAACAACTTATAACAAATGAATATCGTTATAGTTCATATCAATATTCATCAGCTATAACAACCAACCATGTTACTTGTTCCAGCAATACAAACCTTGCTGCAAATACTAATTTTATTTGTAAACCATTTCATGTGCATCTCCTATACCCATAATATATACATACATATGAAAATTAATATGAGTAATTGTGTATACTGCTTATAACAACTATTGGACATAAAATCCCTCCATCCAAGTTATGACGTCCCTTCAATGTCATTAGATCCGGTTTAGACTGTATATATCACACTAATCACACTAATATTATAAAGGCAAAAGTTTGTGAGTGGAGTGATTTTAATAAAATTTGGTATGGAGTTAGCTGACACCCTGGAGGCTATGTTTTACTACAGGAAAATATCCCTAATTAACCGCAGCTAGCACTGCGGGCACAGCTACTATTTTATAACTTGTGATAACCAATTGTTTAAAAAGTATGTGAGTAAAAATTAATAAATGTGGATATTAACACTAATTATGTAGATAGTAACGTTTAACAGATAACAACTAATGATAATATAGTAAATTGGGCATACAAAGCAATGGCAACCAATTATATATAAAATAAACAAGCATTTCTTGTTAAACTTATCCCATCTAAGTATTAGTTCTAATTGTTAAATATTATTAGACATATTTGAATAAAATCATACCACTTTGAACTTTGATAACTTTAGAAAAATATTTTGGTTTTAAATATCCATCCCTGTTTCCCGGACAGAGTACTACTTGATTTTCTGATTCAAAAAATTCTATGCCATCTTTCAAGGCTTTTTTCAAATCAATAAAAATATAAATTTCGATATTCTTCCGCAAACCACTTATTACTGAACTATCTTCCAGAGTTCCTTTAGCAAAATGTATGTGTTGCCGGCTCATGCGACTAAGTCCATCTAATTTTATTTGTTGCCAGCATTTCAAATATGTACCATGGACAACTGTGGTGTATTTAGGCTGTAATATACAAAAATATATACATGAAAATATATATAAAAAAAATATTTTAGTGTAAGGTAAAGACTCTTATATCAAAGATATCTGTAAAGATCAGATATAACCGTTACGCTATTATCGAAATAAGTTGCAAGTAGAAATAGAGCTTTCATTATTTAATATAAAAGTAATCATTGCTAAATGGAATAAATAATATATTGTACAATTTTTTTCTAATAGTTAGGTCTGACAAATGACTCTACCCCACTCTATGTTAAGTGACGGTGAAGTCTAATGTAACTTTTAAAGCCTATGTTTTACAAAAGATAGGTTTTTAATACAACCACTTATTAGCTATATAAACAGTCCTCTTCCAATGCAAAATCTATTTCAGAAGTGCGTTGAATAACTTACTTCTATGATTTGAACCAATCCTGCATTAGTCACTTGTGGGAGTGAGTGACCCTGGTTTGCTTTCACCTCTAAAACACCAGTCTGCGGATTAGCCCTCAAATGAAACCGCTGCTTGTCATTCGTCTGTACGACACGCTCCACATCAGCTTTGTTAAACCTTCCCCTGAGAGACTTGTGTTGAAGTATGCTATTCACGTCTACGTAGCCTTCAGAACTGAAATAGATTTATGATACATTTGTAATTCCAATCCCAAACGTAGGTTAGTACCATTGATACTAAAAACTCCTTGAGCTGGGTCAAATACGATTACTTATTGCTGTTCGTAACTTAACGTAATGCCGAATCAGTGTAAACCGACGATAATAGAAATTGTAAATCATTTGTAGAATCAATACTCGTAAATGCAATCAATTTAAGTAAATATTAAATACCTTATCTTCAGGCCTTCTTTGATTGCGCCGTGTCGTAGGAGCCAGGACAACGACTTGCTTAAATGTATATCTCTACTATTCCTGTAAAGACCACATACTTAACGCATAAATACAATAAACATAGCACAATAAACCACATGTGTAAAATTAAGTCTTACATCTAATACCGAATTACAATAAGTATGTACAGAGAAGACCTGTTGTCACTTAAATAATTTAAGAATAAAGGGTAGAATTTATCAGGTTAAAATTTAGGACGTTTTTCAAAAAAGAAGCGTTACCCCACAAACAAATTGCTTGTCCAAACAATAAAATATAATAATTCCTGAAAAGCCCTGTACATAGACAAAAATTGCATTTAAAGAGCTTCTCTCTTAATTCATGGCTCAAAGAGCTGTTCGTATTTGTTGTTACTCGTTTTGACAGCAGGCTGTCCTTGTCATATTTTATATAGAATGACAGAAAGAGACTGTTGTCATGTTTACAAATACCAAATACGAATAGCCATTTCCATGCAGAAATTACTTTGTTTAGTTTTTTTTTGGTCAATTTGTCCCTGTTGGGACAGGCAAAGGATTCTGAGTCCATACAGCCCTGTCTGTTAACATTTTTTTTTATATCCAAGAATAATCTATTCTGCACATGGAGTGATGGACCATGCGAACCATAGACATAGTAGCCTATATTAGTAAAATGGTTTAATAATATTCTTAAAAAAATGGCACTGCTAAAACGAGACGAGTGAGTGATATAGCACATCTGAGTACTTAATCTTATAGAGATGCTATAGTATTCTAAATGAACAATCTGTTATACAAATATGATTGATATCGACATTGTACGTTAAACTTGTAGCCATCTCATTTTAACTTACCTACAATACTCCACTCGAAAAGAAACAACATTTTATTTGCCTAAACTAATAACGGCAACATTAAAAAGTGACCTCGTTGAAATGCCTATTTGGGATCGGTCGCCATTTTTAGTTCCTACTGTGGTCAGATACATAGGTTGTCAACATCTGTCACGAACAAAATCACGACCGAAACCTGTCCTGTGAATGAACCTGTCCACGACGTACATTGGACGATCCACGGAATAGGCTAGTTGACTCATGTCGAATTGTATTAAATAAAATAATTCTTACAGTATTTGGTCTAAGGAACCTAAATATATCGATTTCACTTCATAAAAGCAGAAGATTGCTGTAGAAATTTAATTTAAAAAAATATTTTTTAGTCTATTCCACACCCGCCAAGATTGTGACGTCTCTTTCAGTAAACAACTAAATGTCATTCGCGTGTTGTTATGGGTGGATTCTTTAGTCTGAATAAATTTATCTTAAAACACTTTTAACTTTAGAAAAGTTTCCGTTTACTGTTTTTTTTGACAAAACTAATTATGGATGCCGGCTTTGTGAAAGCAGAAAGCACAAATCTGCCAAGAATTGACGCATTGATGGTTGGTGAATTTTTTGCACTAAACCCCGATTTCTGCTCTGCGGAGCAGAGAAACGACAAGGCATCTATGTAAGTAAAGTGCATTTAGTATTACAATGTAGTAATAAACATAAAACTGATACAACATATGAATAGGTGTAATGAACTTGCGTAGGTTAATTTCTTTCGGCACTTTAATCCACAACTTTCCTGGAGTCTTCAAGGATGTGTTTTTATACTCTCGTACAATACAATAATGATAATTACTTTATTTTTCGTGGTATTTATTAGAAATCATGTTCTTTTTATTATAAACCCAGATAAGTTATTTTCTACGTGCTTACCAAAGAGTAAAGTAAGTATACCAATGGTGCTTACGAGTTTTTGTTTACTACAGTTGATCATAGCATAGACAATCTATAGATTAAAATGGCCGACAGCGTTTTTGTATGTCCATGAAAATTCAATTTTGAAATTAAAGATTTGTAGCTTTCTAGGTCTCAAAAAATACAATACATTTTTTTTCGGTCTAATAGAACATTTATTAACCATTTAAAACCTTTTTCCAAAAAGGGTCAACTAGCCTATTCCGTAAGATGATCGCAAAGTCTAAACAATATAAAGGCATTATTTAAACATTGAAAATCACCTTTAAAGCATATTGTATAGTCTTAATTAAAACGCTTTCGTCAAAGAATTATGACAGTCCGATTAATATAGAAGCTCTACCGAGTTAATACGCACAGCTCTTGTCGTTTCTCATACTGCTCATACAACGACTTGGCAACCTCCGAAATAGCGCCATCTGCTGGCAGGAGGTGATCATTTTGTTTGCTAGCTCCTTTCAGTAGCGAGTAGGTATTAATTCAACTAAATAAAAGAACAGTCAAATTATTTTTAGTCTATATTTTTTAAACACTAAAAACGCTGTTCGCCACATCCGCCATGATTGTGACGTCTCTTGTAGTAAACAACTAAATGTCTTTCGTGTGTTGTTATGGGTGGATTCTTTAGTCTGAATAAATTTATCTTAAAACACTTTTAACTTTAGAAAAGTTTCCGTTTACTGTTTTTTTTGACAAAACTAATTATGGATGCCGGCTTTGTGAAAGCAGAAAGCACAAATCTGCCAAGAATTGACGCATTGATGGTTGGTGAATTTTTTGCAGTAATCCTCGATTTTTGCTCTGTGGAGCAGAGAAACGACAAGGCATCTATGTAAGTACAGTGCTTTTAGTATTACAATGTAGTAATAAACATAAAACTGATACAACATATGAATAAGTGTAATAAAGTTGCGTAGGCTAATTTCTTTCGGCACTTTAATCCACAACTTTCCTGGAGTCTTCAAGGATGTGTTTTTATATTATCGTACAATACAATAATAATAATTACGTATTTTTCGTGGTATTTATTAGAAATCATGTTTTATTTATTATAAACTCAGATAAGTTATTTTCTACGTGCTTAATAGTTTTTGTTTACTACTGGTGTCGATTCTAGAGTGATTCTCTAAACTTAAAACTAAATTTAACATCAGTCTCTCCTTTTCATTCTGTATAGAGAATGACAAGGATGCACTGTTGTCAAATTTAAGTTTAGCTTTAGAGAATCATGCCAGAATCGACATCACTGTTGACGTCATAGCATAGATAATCTATAGACTAAAATGGCCGACAGCGTTTTTGTTTGTCCATGAAAATTCTATTTTAAAATTAAAGTTTTGTAGCTTTCTAGGTAAAAAAAAAATATGGGTGCGTGTACTTAAATACGCGCATGAGAATTTATACTTCTTTTTGGAATTATTAAAAAATAGTTTTTAATTGCATGCAGATAATTAATTACAATAAGATAATAAAAGGATTGGAAAAGGATAGTCAACGCAGTCAATAAAGTTCAGTTTTAATTTGAAAAATTTAATAAATAATCAAAATATTCAATTTAAATCACTAATGAATAAAATTTATTAGCACATATAAATTTCGCATTTGTATAATATTATAACACGTGTTAAGAATATAGAAACTAGAAACATGTGGATAAATATTATAAATATGAAAACAGTGATCAGAGGCGACGAGCGTCCCAACATGTGCGACTAAGAGATCCTATTACTATTTTGTTGGAAGCTTTTTTTCGAGACTTACGAGTAATGTGCGGTTTAGCGGCCGACTTCATGGTGTTACTTTACTGTTACAGTGTTGCGCGCGCATCTTAAAATTTCACTCTCATCATTTTTTCATAACGCGCCCGCGGCTAACTTCATTATGTTACTTTTGTGTTACAGTGATGCGCGCGCATCTTAAAATTTCACTCTCATAATTTTTTCATAACGCGGCTAAAGAAGTATAACTTCAAAAATACAATACAGTTTTTTCGGTCTAATTGAACAATTATTCAACTAGCCTATTTAGAAATCTGGACAATTTAAAGATCCGGACAAACTCCGGACGGTAGTCTAAAAGTCCGGCCATATCCGGACTAATCCAGACGGATGGTAACCCTTATCGATGGTATTATACACAAGCCTACAGTGCTTACTTTCGAGCTAGGCTAATTGGTAATTTATACTTTTTTTACAAATAACAAAGCATTTTATAACGGGCATACCATGTAAGCGACGGTAGCGAGCGACCTCTTTTATTTCATGATTTTATTGACAGATTGTAAAGGTTTTAAGTTTAGAGAATCATGCCAGAATCGATACCAATGTTATGTAAACATATGAAATACCAAAACTTATACCAAAACTTTAGAACAAAGCAAAATAAATTATGACGTATGTACATGCGTTTGACTGATCTTTGATAATAACAGCACTGATCTAGCTTCAAAGTTTTTATTTTATATAAATTCTTATTCTCAGTTCTTCAACTGCAGTGGTGACAATTTTTGCACTATTAAATCTTTTTACATATATTACATACATTTTGTAGATTGACCTCTCAAAAAAAATATTGGTGTCGATTCAGGCGTGATTCTCTAAACTTAAAACTAAATTTAACATCAATCTCTGCTTTTCATTCCGTAAAGAGAATGACAAGGATACAATGGTGCCGATTCCGGCAAGATTCTCTAAACTTAAAACTAAATTTAAGATCAGTCTGTCCTTTTCATTTTGTATAGTGAATGACAGGGATATACTGTTGTCAAATTTAAGTTTAGCTTTAGAGAATTATGCCAGAATCGATACCACTGTTGTCAAATTAAAGTTTAGGTTTAGAGAATCGTGTCAGAATTGACACCATTGTCATGTTAGAAAGTGGTAAAAGGCATCTATTAAATGTCTCTCAACCGTCTCGTTTTATAAATAATGGCCATCCATTTGACCCATTCGTGCCCGAAACACCATGAAATGGTAAAAAAAAATACTTGAATGAATAAATTCTCAGACAAATTAATGGAGTTTATAATTAAAAATCACGAATACTTCAAATAACGTTCGTTTTCATGTGTGTTAAAATCTGCGAAGGGAACGCAGTGATGGAAAAATCAATGCAATGTAACTATAGACAATGCGTCATAGAGTAAGACTTAGGTCAGCTGACTTCATTTTTATCACTGGTCTTGTGATATTAGTTGTGATTCTCCGCCATTCTCTGTTCGTCTTTTCTGTCTTTCTCGTCAGCCTGTGAGTTGAAATTTTATTACAAATCACTTTTCCGATTTATATTTATCGGCATTTATTATATTGGTGTCAGTGTTTATCGCAAATAATAAGCTATCCTGCAGTTTGGTAAGATCGTGCCCAATTCTGCCATCCTCAATTTTGATTAAAGTAATGTCACGCAGAATCAATTAATTTAAGCAATTTAGTATTGAAACTTCTATAAATAGGACAAAACTAGAGAACTTAGTCTGTCTGATAGTTACATGTTACGTTAATAACTATTACATATTCACAAATTTTGGTGTAAAACACCCATCATGTGATAATATCTGCAAGGGTGGTACCTGCCTATTGCCTTTGCCAGTCAGCAGAACCAGTTTTGTTTTGGTCGGCTTCCAGGGCTAATTTGTGTGTTTTTTCTATAACATAAATCAAAACTAATTCTGATCTTTTTCTTCAATGGATCATAGTTTTATGTTTGACAAATTTACTATTCCTTGGTTCTTGGTTTATAAAGTTTTGAATAGTTTTAAAATTATAGAGCTTATATAATGAAAAACAACCTAGGAATTATTTCCACTAAAATATTTCTATGCATAGAAAATTTATTACCAGCCAAAAGTGGTCCTCGTCTGGAAAAAATAACTCATAAAGGAGTTTGTGGTAAAAGTTGATTTAACTTCAGTAAATTTTTCGATAAAATCAGAATCAAACTTTTATTTAATTTGTCGAGCTACCTTCGAAATCTACTAAGAAACATCAATAAATAAATAAAGTTTCGTGCATTAACCCGTAAAAACTAGTTTTATTTAATGAGTGATGTGCGTGAAAACGTAAGATACAAATAAATTATCTTTTGTAATAATTTTCATAGTAACAGTAAAATCATACTTGTTGACAGTGATGGATAGATAGGTTTTATCATCTGCTGGTTTGATCAGCTGAGCAATTGTCTGGTTGTACATATTATATTTATGTAATTCTTTACTACTTTTGGCTTATGTTATAGTTCAGCTATTACTATTATTAGGTGAAAATTTGAAATAAAAAAGGGTTAGTTCCTGCTTTTACACTTTTTGGGTTTTTGAGCTAGAAAATTCTTTTTTCTTAGAAATAAATTGAGAATATCAACATTTTAATGCTGGCCATTCTGAATTAGGTTTTATGAATATGTTAAAATAAAGTTCTGTTAAAGTAGTAAGTTGTAAGTCCTAAAAAACATTCAAATCAAATTTAAACCAAATATTGTAAAATATCCTGAAAATACCACACTATCCTTGCTATAGGATTTCTTCATTGTTTTTTACACTTACTCATTTTTTTTCATTAACATCATTAATTACTAGGAAATCTGCAATTTTGTATGTTGAAGAGTTAGGCACAATCTTTTAGTTCATTATGCAAACTAGCAACAAATAAAAAAAAAAATATTGTGATCTGATTTTCATGTGCTGTTTCAGGGAATAGAATTTTCATTCAACATGGCGACGAAATCGGGTCTGAAGACGATCGCCAACGAGGAGAATGAGGAGAGGTTCGGTTATGTGTTCGCTGTATCTGGACCCGGTCAGTACAATTGATAGAACTTTATTCTTTTTCCTTTGTCCATTAATGTTTTTGTAAATAGATGCCTTTGATTTGCTCAGTAATTCGTTAAAATTAATAGTAAAGATTATTTTATGAAAAAATATTTCCAATTCTTAGCCTACCTAAACATTAAATATGCACAATTCAGTAACTCCCAGATTGAAATATGAATTAGTAAATAACACAACCAATAAAAAAATTTCTACAGTCGTTACGGCGGAGAAGATGTCCGGTTCTGCTATGTACGAGTTGGTGCGAGTTGGTTACCATGAGCTGGTCGGAGAGATCATCCGTCTCGAGGGTGACATGGCCACTATTCAAGTAAGGCAAAAAAATATACATTTTGTTTCTCATATACATAATTCAGAAGAATCATCCAACCAAGTATTAAGCACATGATGATGATGACACATCATTCAGCATTTTACTTTATAATAATGATGTCTCTTATCTCAGCATTAATATACTTATAAAATATTATCAATAAATATTTATCTATTCTATTAAACTCATACAAATATAGCTAGGCCATTATATTCCATCCAAAAATGAGCGATAATAAAAAAAAGCATGAATCATTACAAGGCCAGAAATGCAAACAATGCAATGCAGAAAAGCATGTAGATGCATTTCTGTAGTTATAATGATTTGTTGTTATTCTGATCAATAGCCCCCTTTCTTGTGTGACCCAGATTTGCAAAGTATTCTTTTGTTTTGATTTTGTGATACAGAAAGCACTTGAGAAACTCCTTTTCCTGACCACACTATGCAAATTTCTATTCTTCTTTTTTTCTAAATGTGATTAAAAAGCGTACTCGGTAAACCAATATAATGTTTTCCAACCTTAGGTATACGAAGAGACATCGGGTGTGACCGTAGGAGATCCAGTACTACGTACCGGCAAACCTTTGTCAGTGGAGCTCGGGCCCGGTATCCTGGGATCCATTTTTGACGGCATCCAGCGTCCCTTGAAGGACATCAATGAACTCACCCAGTCCATTTATATCCCCAAGGGAGTGAACGTTCCCTGCCTTGCCAGAGAAACTGCTTGGGAATTCAATCCTCTTAATGTTAAGGTATGTAAAATATTTAATTTGTGCTTTGGATATTTATGTTTTACTTCAATTGTGCTAGACTTTTGTATTAGATATTGATTTTCTACAGTGAGAAACAGGTATGTTACGGAATCAATTTTTTCATCAGATATATTTTTTATTTTATTTTTCAATGATTTTATTTATTTTTACTCTGTTTACACTTTATATGTTTTTTTATTGTAATTTGAATATGACATTTTTATTGGGTTTTATATGCCTTTAATAAACAATTATTATTATTAGTAAAATCGCCATACTTTGTTTGGAGTTCAAGTATCTATCTATAGATTGTAATTCACTTTTTATGTCATTTTGAAGTATTTTTGTCTTTGTTTTTTGCTTTTGGATCTTTTTTTTATTCTAGAAACAAGTATAAGCTTACTAATGTATTTATTTCACAAAATTTTGAAATTTTTTAAGGTTATACTTCTGAACAACTTTTTAAAGTCTGAAAGGACATGGTAAAATTTTGTATCAGCGACTGCCCTAGCAATGTATATATATTGTACATTATTAATGTTTAATGCTGAATGGCTGAATGTTTATAATATCTATGAAAAAAGGCTCAGGAACTTTTACACAACCTTGTTACATTTGATAAAAGATGTTGCTAATTATTTAAAGAGTCATTGATTGCGCATTTTCTTAGGATCCATCCTCCCATTTCTCTGATTAACACTTCACAAAAAGTGTTTTAATGCAGAAATAAATACAAATAATTTGTTGTTATCGGCCTGACAGGAAATCTGTAAAGTTTTATTTCGTTTCATTCTTCTTGATTCTTGTCTCAAGCATGATCAGATTAATAAAATCTACTATTTTAAGCCTTCTGTGATTTGTTATAATAAAAATTAGGGCTAAATATGTGAAAGTTTTAAGGATTTTGGAATTAATATTGTTTCTTTCGATATATTTACAGAAATATTTTTTATGTACATTTATTATTTATTTATTTTTGTAAAACGGAACATTTTCCTTTTCAAACAGACATGAAGTAAATTTTCATACTTTTAAATATTTGATTATTTCACGAAAGTTGTATGAGAATAATAAATATGATAATTAATAAAAAAAATATAATGGGCTAGTGCGAAATAATTATACACGTTAAGGGCAGTTTCTTAGCCATGTCCTTTCATCCACACATACTGTAATAAGAGAAGATATTGTGAACAATGTTGATGTAACTTGATAATCTAATAATAATTTATTTATCCACAGGTGGGATCTCACATCACCGGTGGAGATCTATACGGTATCGTTCATGAGAATACCCTGGTGAAGCACAAAATGTTGATGCCACCGAAAGCTAAGGGAACTGTTACCTACATAGCCCCCTCTGGAAACTACAAAGTCACTGTAAGTCGAGAATGAAGTGAATACTATAAGACTATTAAATAATTTTTGTTTGATAATTGTTGCTACTTATAATGTTAATATAAATTTAATTGTAGCTATGAGCTCAACATTATTATGTCCTAATAGTACTAATGTGTTTGTACCTTATAATAATGTACAACCTTGTTTATCACATGAAACGCAATAAACATTTTTGATTCTGGTTATACTCGTATAGCGATAAAATTCGTGCAGTTGGAGTATAGCCAACGTTTTGTTGTTGCTAACGAAACATGAAGCAGTTTGCATATATTCGCATGCAGTATCACTTCGTATCTTAAGAAAAAATAATGGATTCATGAAATGATGGAATATTAGAAAAAATTGCAAATTATGAATAAGAATCAGTTTTGTGTAAGCCTCCTAGAGGCATACCATAAAAACACAAACATTTTGATACGAGAAAAAAGTTTATATTTTCGCCTAAATAATTGCGATGTTTTTCTTAACTGATTCGTTGCGGATGGCACAACAAGTGTGTCTTCAATTTTTTTCTTAGCAAAGTAGATTAGGATTCATTACTTTAATTCTAGAAAAAAATGTGTACGAGTTAAAAAAAAAGATGCTGTTTCATTGTGTTTATAATTTATACATTACAATAGTAAAACGGTTCTAAAATTCTAACCGATACAACATGTTGCTTAGACTTTTCCGATGAATATTTTTTATTTATATATTTAATATTCCCCCATTTAGGACGTAGTCCTGGAGACAGAATTCGACGGCGAGAAAGCTCAATACAGCATGTTGCAAGTGTGGCCCGTCCGACAACCCAGACCCGTCACTGAGAAACTGCCCGCTAACCATCCCCTACTCACCGGCCAGAGGGTGCTGGACTCTTTGTTCCCGTGAGTTATTATGATATGACATTACACTGACAACCCAGACCCGTCACTGAGAAACTGCCCGCTAACCATCCCCTACTCACCGGCCAGAGGGTGCTGGACTCTTTGTTCCCGTGAGTTATTATGATATGACATTACACTGACAACCCAGACCCGTCACTGAGAAACTGCCCGCTAACCATCCCCTACTCACCGGCCAGAGGGTGCTGGACTCTTTGTTCCCGTGAGTTATTATGATATGACATTACACTGACAACCCAGACCCGTCACTGAGAAACTGCCCGCTAACCATCCCCTACTCACCGGCCAGAGGGTGCTGGACTCTTTGTCCCCGTGAGTTATTATGATATGACATTACACTGACAACCCAGACCCGTCACTGAGAAACTGCCCGCTAACTGTCTTCTACTCACTGGCCAGAGGGTGCTGGACTCTTTGTTCCCGTGAGTTATTATGATATGACATTACACTGACAACCCAGACCCGTCACTGAGAAACTGCCCACTAACCACTAAAATTCTTGTTCTATTCAGATCAAAAACTATATGCATCTTAAATTTCATCGAAATCCTTTCAGTGGTTTTTGCGTCAAGTTTTCACAAACAAGTCTTAATAACACAATTAATCACTATAATAAAAAACACAATACATACACGCACATACACACTCACACAATCACATACACCCACACAAACACATACACCCACACAAACACACTACCTTCTTTTTGTTTTTATTTTTTTCTCATATTGTATGTTTATGTATTTCACTTAGGAACTAATATGAATTTGAGTTCCTTATAAACGGTTCGGAGGTGGAGAGACCGGTAATCTGTAATACAGGTCTCCTGGTACAGACGCCAGTCTCTCACATAACTAGATTTAAGTATTACAAATACAAATACAAAAGCCTTTATTGCTGATAATTTCATAAAATACACATCATTAACATTTACTTATAATTCAGCGTGTCCTGCAGACACTTAGGCCTCCTCCAGCCTTTTCCACCCCGATCTATCCCTTGCTAACCTCAGCCATAGCGGGCCAGCTACCCTTCTTATGTCATCTGACCATCTTTTCAGCTGTCGTCCACGTTTACGGTAAGTGTTCATTCTGGGGATCCATTCCGTGGTCTTCCTTGTCCACTTCCCTATTTCGTCTCTTGTGACGTGACCTGCCCATTTCCATTTGAGTTGCCTACTTTTTTGAATGACATCCTTAATTTTGACGTGACAACGTCTTAAATTAGGTTGCGGCTGGGAGTCACTTATGAAAAAGTGTAACGCTCGGTAACGTTACGATGAGTTTAAGTTTACATGTACAATGTTTTAGTAAACAAAATATATTTCTATAGTTAAAATTTGTGCAATTCTTATTTTCATTCAATTCCTTGTTCCTATTGTGCAATTTAATTATATTCATATCAATAAATATTCTACCGAGAAAAAGACGTTGTCACGTAAAATCTTCGCCCGTAAAACCGACTTTACAGGCAACCATTTTTTTTTGTGCGTTTTTTGATGTCGGTAGCTCTCTTGTTGTCACTCCTTCTGTATCCAAGAATACTTCTCTCCATGCCTCTCTGACACGTTCTTAGTTTGTTTTGCAGTGCTTGTGTCATGGCCCAAGTCTGGCAACCATATGTTAGTATTGGTAAGATACATGTGTTAAAGAGATTTCTTTTCACTGATATGGTGGAGTGGGCATTCTTCATGACATCTTTTAGAGACCAGTACCTTTTCTAAGCATTAACGATCCTTCTGTCGATTTCCTGTGCCATCTGGTCTTGAAATGATACAAGCTCCATTTCACATACTCCTACTTTTCCTCATTCAGATAGATGTTGGTTTCTAACCTGTTTGTTGTAGATTTAAGTATTAAGGTTAAGTTAATGATGTATTGTTATGTGAGCGAAGAAATAAAGAAAATTATTATTATTATAAACACTTAAAACTGTAATTAACGCTTTAACCGTGTTAATTTGCTAATGAATGTGTTTCTGTCCGTATAGTTGCGTCCAGGGCGGTACTACGGCCATCCCCGGCGCCTTCGGATGCGGCAAGACTGTCATCTCCCAGGCTCTATCCAAGTACTCCAACAGTGACGTCATCGTCTACGTGGGCTGCGGGGAGCGTGGTAAGTTGCCTAGCTTCCAACTTTTACTGTCAACTTATAATATCGTCATTACACAATAGGGTATTTGACAGTATTAAAAATAAAGTCCCAATTGTTGGCATCTGTGTTTAGAATGAATATTGGCAGGGGTTTTTTCTATTTTTACAGAAAAAATATTCATAATTTTACTAAAACCCCACGAAAAAGATAATAGTTTTCTTATCTATTGTCACGTGACCCAAAACGCTTGGGATTGGCGGAGCCTTAAATGACGTCACACGCAAGTAGACTTCCGATTAAAGTGACATTTGATTGTATGGATATGGATATTATATTTGACGTTTTAATAACAATCGTGTGACGTCACACACCATTGAGACGCCATATTGTCCAGAGATACGTTTTTCGCGGCAACATGAAAATGGGAGTTTTTGATTTGATTATTTTTACTGAAATACACAACAGAATGATGAATATCCACTTTTTACGGACTCCATAAACATTAGTCAATAACATGAGATCGTTTTCTAAAACTTGTCAAATACCCTATTAGACTAGCCCCAAAGTAAGCACTGTAAGGCTTGTGTTATGGGATACTAGTGTAACGGATAGAATACATATGGGGCCGTTCAAGTATTATGTGAGCAGATTTATTACTCCTCCCCCTTGTCAGCAAAAGTGAGCAAAGTTCTTACCCGACAATCTGGCGATAAATAAGTAGTTATTTTTTTTAGTATTCCATCTGACGTACTGAAAATAATTTTGTTTTTTTTAACCCCCTCATCATCCCTATTAAAAATTTACGACAAAAAGAGTGCAGTCTGTCTCATTTAATTAGCAACCAGGGGGCCATTCGCCTAACGGAAATGCTTTGGAAAACGCTAACGCTTTCGATTTCATTTTGTTGTTTCTGACCGCCGAAGGTTTTCAAATACCAATGCAAAAGAAAAAAAAAAGAGCGCGGGGCATTTGCAAAACTCAGGCGGCTAGAAATAACAAAATGAAATCGTAAGCGTCAGCGGTTTTCCAAAGCATTTCCGTTAGGCGAATGGCCCCTAGGTTTTTGTTGTATTTAATTATTAGCATTTCACCCCAGTTCCTTAAAATAATGCAATTGAATGTATTCTAGTCTAGCAGGTTAGATTGCATACTTTCAGTAACTTTAATGCTATAAATACTCAGGTGAGAAATATTAACGTGTTTCAAACATTATTTGTGCAGGTAACGAGATGTCAGAAGTACTTCGGGACTTCCCCGAGCTCACAGTAGAGATCGAAGGCGTCACAGAGTCCATCATGAAGCGTACAGCCCTCGTCGCGAACACTTCCAACATGCCTGTGGCTGCTAGAGAGGCATCCATTTACACAGGTCTTTATTCCATTTAGTACTTTTTTTTGCTTTCCATAAAAAATATTGGAAGTTCCTTACTGTGCCTGATTTGGGACAGCCGCTATGTTTATGATGATGTTTTCAGTTTATTTTGTTATGTTTCGTTGCCCTTATTAATAATATTGTTTATTAACAGGCATCACCCTATCCGAATACTTCCGAGACATGGGTTACAACGTTTCCATGATGGCTGACTCCACTTCTCGTTGGGCCGAAGCGTTGAGAGAAATCTCCGGTCGTTTAGCGGAAATGCCTGCGGATTCCGGATATCCTGCCTACTTGGGGGCCCGACTGGCCTCCTTCTACGAGAGGGCCGGCCGAGTTAAATGTCTCGGCAATCCTGATCGGGAGGGTGAGTTTTATTTATTTACTAGCTGACCCAGCGAACTTCGTACCGCCATAAAAAAATAGGGGTTGGTGGTAGAAGGGTGAAAATTTAGGGTTGTATGTATTTTTGTAATTTTTTTTTATCTAAAATTGAAAAAAAAAATTTAGGGGTGGATTACCCTTAACATTTAGGGGTGGATTACCCTTAACATTTAGGGGGATGAAAAATAGATGTTGTCCGATTCTCAGACCTACCCAATATGCATACAAAATTTCATGAGAATCGGGAAAGCCGTTTCGGAGGAGTTTAACCACAAAGACCGCGACACGAGAATTTTATATATTAGATTTATTAACCAGTGGTGCATTGCTAGCGCAAAGTTAATCTCATTCCACGTATGTACGTGTGTCTGTCATTCCTCAGCTTTCTATTAAACCTTACTAATTAGTACATTTTTAATATAGTTGTCGTTGTCATAGTCTGTCATTGCAACGACATTCTTAGGTATTTTGCTATAAAAAATAGTAACAGTACGGCTTCTAAAAGATTTGCTGCTTTTACTGAACCTGAGTTATGCAGTTAAATGCTTATGGATCACCAGTGAATGATACAAAAAATAATTAATTTCTAACACAATTTCATAATGCAAGAAACTGCGTACATTCTATTTATAGCGACCACAACATGCAATGTATGAGCAGACATTTTTTTTTAAATTACGTTGATTCATCTTACTTAATGAAAACATAGTAAAAATTAAAACTAAATTGAATTTACACAAATATACTAAACATAGGAATACATATTTGTTTCTTAGGTTTTCACCCACATCACTCATTAAATAAAACTAGTTTTTACGGGTTAATGCACGAAACTTTATTTATTTATTGACGTTTCGTAGCCTTTACAGGCTACGTCGTCAGAATCAAACTTTTTTTTTTCAAAGAAAAAAGGGAAAAACTAGTTTTATTTATTAGGAATACATAACATTTATTAAATTAAATTGAAAAACATTATTGAATTAAATTGAAACACATTACATATATTGAATCAAATTGGAATATATTACATTATTTGAATTATTTAAAGTAGAAATATTTTAATCGATGATTATGATTCAGCTATTTCATAGATAGCAATGATAGATAGAGTTATATATCTATTTGTCAAAGGGGCACGTGGGCGTTCGTTTAGTGACGGGTCGTCGTCCATTACAAATCATCTAAATAATACACGGTTTGCAATGTCTATGTTTCATAAAGATAGTCTAATCAGTAATTAGCTCAAAATGAGCTATGATGACCACTTTCCAATTTAATCCGCATCTGAGCAAGATACAACCGGATTAAATCGGAAGGTGATGAAATCAGTAATAGTAGAAGATCCGGACCTACATCGACCTTAACCGAGCTGATAATAGAATGAAACATATTTTATCATTTAGTATATTACAAAATATGTAAAAAGTGGGTTGCCTAAAAAAATCCCGGACAGACTATTTTTTATTAGTTTTAAAAAAATATATTTTTTGATAAGAAATAAATAAGATAATGTATCAAAATTATCTCTGATGAAGTTATACATATGATAAACACGATAAATGAGTGAGTGATGACCGAATCTTGTCCTACACGAAGGATGTGAGAATGTTTTTTATTGATTTTGTAACATGCTGCCCATTCGTGGGATGTTAAATTTGATGAGTTCTAGTATTTCTGCACAGTCAATTGAATTAATTTAAAGAAGAACATAAGATCCGACTTTTTTCTGAGTGTATTCAAACAATATTGACCCAAGAATGTAGTGATTGATCCGAGAATGTAGTGATTGATCCGAGACTATAGTGATTGACCCGAGACTTTAGTGACTGACCCGAGTCTGGTAAGCCGTCCGAAAACGCCAAATGTTACAAAAACCTCTTCTGGACACTCTCCAGTCTGACAGAATGAATTGTATAGCTAAAATGATCGCGTTTATCGTAAGGTTCCGTATCCATCGTGGGTGCCGTATCGCCCCCCGGCGGTGACTTCTCGGACCCGGTGACGGCGGCCACCCTCGGCATCGTCCAAGTGTTCTGGGGCTTGGACAAGAAGCTGGCTCAGCGCAAACACTTCCCCTCGATCAACTGGCTCATTTCCTACAGCAAGTACATGCGTGCCCTGGATGACTTCTATGAGAAGAATTACCCGGAATTCGTGCCGCTCAGGACCAAGGTAACGTTTTATTTAGCCCCCTTATTAATAAAGGAGGAGCTCGACGGCGCGAGTGGTTAGCGCGTTCGGCTGCGATCGTCGAAGTTGAGCAACTTTCGCAGTGGTCGGTCATTGGATGGGTGACCAAAAATTTACTATCTCGAGTTCCTCCGTGCTTCGGAAGGCACGTTAAGCCGTAGGTCCCGAGTAGTTAGCACCCGTCAATCCGCATTGGGCCCGCGTGGTGGGTAATGGCCCAATCTCCCTATTCCATCCATAGGGAAGGCCTGTGCCCCAGCAGTGGGGACATTAATAGGCTGATGATAATAAGTCACATGTTTACTTCTGTATGGCTGGGAAGTATCTTAGGGCCATGCGATTTTGGTATGCAATAAATTGTTGAAATAAATTTTTAATTGATTTTCTCAAAAAAGTATACGTGACGTATACGTGAAAACCCAATCATTCCACAACTAGCAAACCAGTGAACCAAATGTTCACCAAAACCTGATTTCTCGAAAACAGGAAGTGCTACGTTACTCAAATCCGGTTTGTAGTCTTATCAGACTATTCTTAACTTATAACTTAAATATTCTCTCTATCTCTTACGGTTTGGCCGCTGAAACAGCACCACAGACGGACGGGCGGACTTGTCTAATAGATAAGAGATAGGCTTATGATGATGATGATGAATACTGACTCATCAAACAATTCGCAGGTTAAGGAGATCCTGCAAGAAGAAGAGGATCTATCAGAAATCGTGCAGTTGGTCGGCAAGGCGTCGCTCGCGGAGACTGACAAGATCACCCTCGAGGTCGCCAAACTGCTCAAGGATGACTTCCTACAACAGAACAGGTGAGTTTTACTTGCCTTGTGAATAGTGGTGATGACGGGGTACAGTAAACGAAATTCTATTTGTAGTCTGTCCATTCGATTAATATCTTTTTGACAGATCGATCGAAGTAAAAATAGTGACACCCTATCACATAACTCGTTCGATTTAAAGCTATAATCGATTTTATGCTAGAACATTGTTTAATCGATTATAAGTATAGAAAATATTTTTGTTTATCAAAAATACTTTAATTACTTGGTTTCTACCTTACAATTTGGTTGTACTCATTTATTTCTACCGATTATTTGTAATCTGTGGCACAATCTTAGTAATCATTATGTGTGGCACATCACTAAGTGGGCGGTACCCGTCCATGAAGTACAATATTATTTGTATGATATTTTAACGTAAACAATACAAAATTTCATGGGCGTCGATCTGTCAAAAAGATAATAGAATGGATAGACTGTGGTGCGTCAGTTAGATGATAAAAAAATAATGGACACGTATCTTTTCTTTGGGCAATCAACCAAAAAATGACAAAGTTATAGCGCGTCAAAGTTTGGGAGTAGGGGCTCGTGACGTCACTTTTAAGTGAAAATTGTACCAGAACGTGACGTCATGCGACTTTTCAAATCAATATATCTCTGCAATGTTTATATTATGTGAAAAAAGAAAAAATACGTGTCGAATGCTTTTTGATAATGTACCTGATAAACGAAGAAAAAGAAAATTAGTCATCATCCCTATTAAAATTGTCAATTTACTTGATTTTGGGTTGTAAATAGTGGCCCACCGTCGCTTCCGTGAAGACTATAGTTTTTGTTCTAATATAACACAAATAATTTGTCTTTTTATTGCTAAAGAAAATTTCAAAATTGGTTCTGTACCCCTAGCACGAACCAATATACAATTCGAATAGTTTGCAAACCGAAATGTCAATGTCAAATTTTTGTATGGAAACTTGAACAGCAGCGCCACTTTGGACGTAACTGGAACTAAAAATCAGTACACATTTGACAATGACATTTCGGACTCGCAAACGTTACGAATTCGATTTTGATTCGTGCTAGGGGTACTGCTGATCCAGAGATTGCCCCTTACTTACAACGTCAAAATTCACAAACTTTACCACTTTCACATTGATAAAGTGAGAAGCTCGATGGCGTAAGTGCTAAGTTTAAGTTAAGTAAATTTCGTAGTGGTCGGTCATTGGATGGGTGACCAAAATAGTACTATTATAATATGTTTATTTTATAAGCCAGTTTTTTAAGAATCGTGCAACACAATATACACTGTTGCTTTAGAATAAATAAATAAATATTTCAAACACTCACACCAATTAGCCTAGTCCCAAAGTAAGCACTGTAAGGCTTGTGTTATGGGATACTAGGGTAACGGATAGAATACATATACTGTATACATATAAGTATATTTATATAGAAATACGTATTAAATATCCATGACTGGAGTACAAATGCTCGTATTCATCACACAAACATCTGCCCCCACCGGGATTCGAACCCGGGACCTCTCGAGTCGGCGACACCATGAAACCCGGCGTACAAACCACTCGGCCACGGAGGTCGTCATTATCATTGTCGTCGTCGAATAAACATTTTATTGTATCCTTCATGCCTGTACTAGGTTATATAAATACCTGTATCACAGACACTGCGAATATATATATATACTAGCTGACCCAGCGAACTTCGTACCGCCCTAAAAAAATAGGGGTTGTCCAGCGGACAAAATTGTGAATCTAAACCATTCTCAGATCCCCTTGAACACACACAAAAAATTTCATCAAAATCGGTCCAGTCGTTTAAGAGAAGTTCAGTGACATACACACTCACAGAAGAATTATATATATAAAGATATGTATGTATTTATATAGTGGTGGTCATAAAATTAGAAACACTTCTTATGAATAAACTAAATATAACTTCAATGTATGACTTTCGTGACGCATTTCCGTTTCATATAGGGTATTTGACAAGTTTTAGAAAACGATCTCACGTTATTGACTAATGTTTATGGAGTACGTAAAAAGATGGATGGATATTCATCATTCTGTTGTGTATTTCAGTAAAAATAACCAAATCAAAAACTCGCATTTTCAAATTGCCGCGAAAACGTTTCTCTGGACAATATGGCGTCTTACTAGTGTGTGACGTCACACGACTGTTATTAAAACATTAAATGATACAATGTAATGTCACTTTAACCGGAAGTTTTACTTGCGTGTGACGTCATTTTAGGCTCCGCCAGTCCCTAGCGTTTAGGTTCACGTGACAATAGATAAGAAAACTATTTATCTTTTTCGTGGGTTTTTAGTAAAATTATTGTAAAAATAGCTAATACCCCTGCCAATATTCGTTCTAAACACAGATGCTAACAATTGGCACTTTATTTTTAATACTGTCAAATACCCTATTATCCATAGGATTTAATCCATTTGCACTACGCCCGAAAATAAGTTACGTTTCAAAAAAAAATATGCCTACTTATATAATAGGGGTGCTGACGGAGTACAGTAAACGAAATTCTATTTAGTCCGTCAGTTAGATGATCAAAAAATAATGGACACGAATTTTTTTTTGGGCAATCAACCAAATAATGACAAAGTTAGAGCGCGTCAAAGTTTGAGAGTAGGGGCTCGTGACGTCACTTTTGAGTGAATTTTCCCTTATAAGTGTACTCAAACGTGACGTCATGCGACTTTTCAAATCAATATATCTCTGCAATGTTTATATTATGTGAGAAAAGAAAAAATACGCGTCCAATACTTTTCGATAATCTACCTGATAAACGAAGAAAAAAAATAGTCATCATACCTATCGTTGTCGCCAGCTACTCTGCGTACGACCGCTTCTGCCCGTTCTACAAGACGGTGGGCATGCTGAAGAACATAATCTCGTTCTACGACATGTCGCGGCACGCCGTCGAGGCCACCGCCCAGTCCGACAACAAGGTCACCTGGAACACCATCCGCGACGCCATGGGCACCGTGCTCTACCAGCTCTCCTCCATGAAGTTCAAGGTGCGAAGCGTAATACGGAACGGATTCCAGCGAACAAACTTTCTTTTTCAAGCTAAATTCCCACTGTCCCCGTTTACAAAATTCCCACAGTCCCTGTTTACAAAATTCCCACTGTCCCCGTTCACAAAATTCCCCCTGTCCCCGTTTACACCATTTTCACTGACCCTGCTTACAAAATTACCACTGACCCTGTATTAAAAATTGTCACTGTCCACGTTTCCCAATGAACCTCGATCCCATTGGCCCCGATTCCCGTTTGCCCCGTTTGTCTTTAGCGTCATCCATAAAGTACGCACACTGTGAGGTTGGAGGCACACCACACGTTGAAGGGTGAAAGGGGGGGGGGGTCGACTGAGTGTTACAAAAGGTTGAATCCTAATTGGAATGAAGTTCCTTACGGCAGGCTCGGAGGCGATAGGGTTTTTGCTGCGCGACCGAACTGAAAAAAATGTGATAGTAAAACCGTAAGAAAAAATCCGTGGAAAAAAGTGCGTGGAATTTTAACCGTTAAATGAGGGAACTTCGTTCCTACCTGGTGTCCCACGACACCACATCATTTTTCTCGTGACGTCACATGTCAAAATCTGTAATACTTTTCAACTTTGTCAAGAAACTTTGAAATTTACAGAACTTTATATATATGGCTTTAAATTTGTCTTGTCTGCTAATTTTTTTTCGAAATTAATTTTGCTGTTTTAGTTTAATAATTTCTTGATGCGAAATAGTAAAATATGTAACGGCAAACAAGAGGGGGAACACTCCAACATGACCAAATGTGACAAGGACGGGGTATGGGTAAAAAAGATCAAGTAATTAATGTAAAGAACTTGATGGATGACCCCTGTTTCCCGTTCGCCTCCTTTCCCATTCTCTCTTCACAAGACTCCGTTTACAAAAACCCCCTTTCTCAGTAGCCCCTACTTCGCGATAACTCCCGTTTCTGAATTACTCTTTTTCCAGACATCTATCATTAATCATCATTTTATGAGTGATGAGCGTGAAAACTTATGAAACAAATATTTAAAAAAAAACCCGATAAATGCCGTAGATTTTACTTAAATCTCAAGCATCTATACCCTTAGCACGAACCACTATCGAATTCAAATAGTTTGCGAGTCCCAAATGTCATTATCAAAATTTGTATTGAAACTTGAACAGCAGCGCCACAAAGGACGTAACGAGGACTAACAATCAGTACACATTTTGCACTCGCAAATGTTACGAATTCGATATTGATTCGTGCTAAGGGTACAGATCATCCAATTCTTACCTATGTTTTTGTTTACTTCAGTTTTCATAGCGTTTGAAACTAGAAATATGTATATTTTTTTTTGGTTTCCAGGACCCCGTGAAAGACGGCGAAGCCAAGATCAAGGCAGATTTCGACCAACTCCTGGAAGATATGTCGGCCGCCTTCCGCAACCTCGAGGATTAAATATACCTTACTTTAATCGCGTCCACAACACCCTGTATATAAACCGCTCGACGCATCCTCTATACTAATAAAAACATAATCTACAACAATTTACTCGAAAACCAAAAATAAGATTGTCTTAGAAGTAAACTTTGAAACTACCCGCTATTGTTGTGATCTTTTAGAACTATATAATATGTGACTACATTAAATTTTAAGTAGCCTGCTTCGAAATGATGAAAAAATTGTTGCTTTAGAACTTAAATCGCTATTTGAAGATCTATTATAGAATAGTTGTTATTATTTGTGATCCGCAAAAACTGACATTGTTGTGATTAGTTTTTGTGTCAAAAAAACCCCATATAAGCGTGATGAGTGAAATATGACGCGCTTCTTTTTAAAGAGTCTTCTTAAGGGAATTTGTTCCGAAGCAGATGTATGGAGTAGGTTCGAGTGTTAAAGTTTCAGGGGATGTGTTTTGAACGCGACTAATCGGTTTTTGTTCCGAAGTAATGGAGTCGTCCGGACCTTTAGTTAGCCGCCTTGTAAATACCCCCGCGGCGTACCGTGTTGCTTAGTTGTTATTTATAAAACTAAATAAAATTATATTATACACAATATTAAAATCTTTATTTATGAATTAACACGTTTACTGATGAATTTTACCCGTTGATATAATATATAGAAACATAATATTTATTAATATTATTGTTTGTGTGATTTTGTTATCCAATCGATATTATTTTAAAGAGTAACCCTCTTTGCATTCCACGTTAATTTTAGTGAAAATGAATAAAAAATAAATCGTTTTATTGAAATTTTTATTGTGATCGCGATCAATATGTTTATGTATTTTTAAATATTATTTTAAACTCAGTATTACGATCCGTTTCTTTAGCCGCAGTACAGTAGACCGCACGTGTTTTTAGACACCATTGGTTGTCTTTCAGTAAGATGTGTACAAAATATTAATACGCAATAAAGTATATTCTTGCTGTTTGAATTTCTGTGAAGTTAAGTGTTGAGATGAGACGAAAGTTAAAATATAAATAAATATAAATATGTGAATTGCTTGTTGTTTTATTTAATGTTCCAAAATATTTCAACTATATTAAATACCCTAGATACACCAACACGAACAAAATCATGCCAGAAACCTGTCCAAAAGGTACATTGGACGATCCACGGAGCTCCGTAAGATGATCGTAGTCTAAACAATATAAGGCATTATTTAAACATTGAAAATCACCTTCAACGCACACTGTATAAGATCTTAATTAGAACGCATGCGTCAAAGAGAAGACAGTCCGAGTTGTATGCTCGTAAAATTGTACGATTGATTGCTATATGCGGAAAAATAGACCTTATTTTTTTGACTCCACGCGCAATTCTGAATGCGCTATTAGCTATATAGCAGGTACGGACCGCGAGGAAAAGAGACGGTATTACCGACCATGCATTTGAATATTAAAAATATTTCTATTAAATCTGTTTATAGTAGAATTTGAAACAAAATTTGCTTCAAATGCGTTAAATTAACAAACATTGATAAGATACCTGTCGAAAAAACGACATTTTACATACTATAAGTATTTATTTCGCATATTTTCACGGAGCTCAGCGGCATGTTGACTTTTCAACGGTCCGCGCGTGACTTTGAACGAAGAAGTGCTTGAGTGGTGTTCAAGCACTTCTTGATTGGGGCACATTTTGAGCGCACGTGGTGTATCTAGGGTATTTAATATCGTTGTTCTGTCCTGATAAAACAGAGTTAGTCCCGAGCAGACGTGCGAATTACGTCAAATGTGTCTCAGAAGGATTATGCGCATTACGTTGCGGAGATACAGGTCAATTTGATTTGTTACATTGCTGATTGATGCGTTCAACCTTGCGTTAGTATGAATTGACCTGAATTGAACAATAGCAGCGAGCGCAACTACGCAAGCTGGGAGTGGAGAGCAGGAATAACCCGTTTAGGCGCTTTGCAGACGACGGGGCGGGGCGGGCTGGTCAATTTCGCCGCGAATAATAGCACAAAGTGAATCCTATACTTCAAATGCACGCAGAGGGCAAAAAGACCGCGCCTTGGGTGCCCGGCGGGCAGTGGCGGCGCGGCATGTCCGCGGCTGCCCGCCGTGGATCATACAAACCAGTTTATATGCAGTAACGCAGACGGCGGCGCGGGGAGATCATCCAGTCCGCGCCACGCGCTTTTAGTGATGGACTATTCACTAGAACGAACGTCCTAAACTGACCGCCTCTGCCCGTCGTGTGCTTTGTGTACGCGGCGCGGGCAGCCGGAGACATCGACGGGCAGACGCGGTTTTTATTGCTTCGCGGACAAAAAGACCGCCCCGCCCCGTCGTCTGCAAAACGCCTTACAGTCAGTGACATCCCGCACGTAACTACATTAATCACCACTACATTTTGGAAAAAATAGAATACATTACCGAAGTTTACGTTTACTGCGCCGCAACTTGTGTTAAGTTCAAAGCCGTCATTAATTTTGAATTTTCAGGTGTCTATCAAAGGTTTCCGATATAGACTGAGAAGTCATAACCAGCAGTGCTATTTTGTACGAACAAACATACTTTTCAACTCGAAATCCGCGGCCGTAGTGTGGTTTAAACATGATTCTTGTACTTAGAACACAAATTTCAACTCACACCGGCGAATTCCGTAGTAATAAGTGAGTTTGTTCGTATGGTTCTTACAGAAGATGATTAGTTACCATCAGAATACACGAACAGATCTCAACCCGGAAATAATTTAGTTTATTTCCAGCAAGCATTCTGCATCGTACGTTACGTACAAGTTTCCATAGACAGCCTATGCCCGAGTAAGTTAACAACTGGCGTATTCTATGTATTTCTTTCGCTGCAAGTCCTAAGCCAAAAATCTATTATTTTTTAATATTTTAGAAGATATTTGAATTTTTATTTCCAGATTGGAGTTATTTTTGTGTATTAGTAAGTTTTGCCACGTGCGCAGACGTTGGAGAAAAGCCTAAATTGTGAAGGAAATCTCGGCCGAGGACTTGTCGCGGACACTTAAATTGAAAAATGCACATGCTATGGAAGTAAATATTCTCAGATAACGTTGTTTTGTAATTAAAATGATGCTTAAGTTTAAGACACAGAGAAGACGTTTTAAAAGAAAATAACTACTGGATCCATCTTTGTACATCGAATTGAGAGCGCAACGCGGACTTGAGAGGATTCACTCACTGCAGCGCGCTACGTCGCATAGCGCAGGGCGGTAGATCATGCGCTACCAGCGTTGCCAACGTGGAATCGGCTTAAAAACGTGCGTGTTATTTAGTTTACGCGCCGATTGGCAGAATTTGCGCACGTGACGCGCAACCGCGCGCCGACGCACGCTTGATCAGTATGTGGTAGGTCGCGGGATTGCTATACGAACTGAGATCATGGATACAACGTCGAAATCTGCGCTCACGCTGCGCTGCGCGGTGTAGCGCGCTGCAGTGGGTGACGTGGGAGGTGGGACTGCGCGCCGACCGACGCTTAGGCCCGTATTACAGAATGACAACTAAGGCGCTTAGCAGACGACGGGGCGGGGAGGCTTTTTGTCCGCGAAGCAATAAAGACCGCGTCTGCCCGTCGATGTCTGCGGCTGCCCGCGCCGCGTACACAAAGCACACGACGGGCAGAGGCAGTCAGTTCAGGACGTTCGTTCTAGTGAATAGTCCATCACTAAAAGCGCGTGGCGCGGAGTGAGCTAGCCGCCCCGCGCCGCCGTCTGCGTTACTGCATATAAACTGGTTTGTATGATCCACGACGGGCAGCGCGGACATGCCGGTCTTTTTGCCCTCTGTGTGCGTTTGAAGTATAGGATTCACTTTGTGCTATTATTCGCGGCGAAATTGACCGGCCCGCCCCGCCCCGTCGTCTGCAAAGCGCCTAAGTGTTGATCTTTACTTGAGTACAGTTAGAAAGGGATGCCGCTATGTGTTATATATAGCGCCATCCCTTTCTAACTATGCTCAAGACTAGATTCATTACTGAGAATCTTACTGTAATACGGGCCTTAGTCAGTGTGTGGTTGGTCGCGGGATTTCTATACGAACTGATGTTCGCTGTGTGCGTAGCTGCGTCTTGTCACATAAGTTATCAGGTCTCGCAGTCACCTCGGTTGTTCGGGGGACATTTTGTATGAGGGATTTTTAAAGTCGCGTGGGGCAAAAGTCCCTCGTTTGCGCAGGCTCTCTCGGAGAGAGTATAAAACTTTCTGGCACAATACGATATTCTTCTTTCAGAATGGTTTACAATTAGGCATCAATAGAGATACTTTTGTCAAACGCATGTCAAAAGAACATTTCTTTTACCGTAAAGTGTTTTATACTAACTGTTACGTTTAAATTTATTTGAAAACTGCAGAAATGAGGCGAATAAGGCGACTCGACGAGCCGTCAATGAGTGACAAGACTCTTCTTGTGAGCGTTGAGGATCTCATCAACAGGGCGTTGGGTCCGGCTCATGTAAGCTTCTGGATTTGTCTTAGAATACAGCGATTTAGACTTTCAAACTTAAAATTTCGAGTGCGAGGATTTAGATCGTATAAGGCAGGAAGAAGATATTTTACGTCTTCATATTGTTTCCCACAGTCTGGCTCCAACCCGAAATCTAGGTATGCCACAGGCGTCCTTTAAATAGAACCTCTCTATTGGAGCAGACATTCAGTAGGTAACTGCAGATGTACCGGTGACCAAAGCCTTTAGACTTGAATCCTCTTGACCCGGAATTATTATCTAAAAACGTGCTCGTGATTTCATCTGCGTGGAAACGTTGGTCTCCCATACAAACTATCACTCCCCCCTTTTTGCACCCCCTTCAAGGTTTCATCTGAATCGGTTCAATTATTTAATTATGAAGAGGTAACAGACAGACTGACACACTTTCGCATTTGTGACATTACATTAGTACGTATTATATTTTTATTTTTCAGTGTAATGTTGTTAATTACAAATTGATTCACACGATACTCCACATCCTGGCTAGGCAAATGCGTATGTTGGAGCAACTCGTTGAAATAAAAATGTCAGACTTGGAGGACCTGGAAGATGGTTACCCGGAGCAGAGCTCTGTCAAGTCGAGCCCTACAAAAGGCAGTCCGAGCAGAAGGAGCCCGACAAAGGACAGGAGTGACAAGTCGAAGTCACCACCGAGGAGAGGAGAAAAACATATAAATGAGAGGGACAAGGCTGATAAAGGAGGCAAAGATGGAGAGAGAGCAGAAAGAGGCTCATCTAAAGATAGGGCATCAAAGGAAAGAGAGAAAGGGGAAAAAGATAGAACCAAGGAGGATAAAGCTGCCACTAAGGAAAGGGAGAGAGCGGAAAAGATAGCCGCTAAGGCAGCCAAGGGCACGGACCGAGAGAAATCGGTTAGAGATATTTTTTTATTTGAATATCACGTAAGTAAGCATATTGAAGTAATATAACGACGGTATAAACGTTCGTAGAGGCTGGTTTGCTGAGGCTTTGTTAAATATCAAGTTTTCAATAATAACGTTATATTTAAAAGAGATAAAAAGTGACAAGTAAAAAACAACAGAAAATAAAAAACACGAAATTATAAATATATGACCACAGACATATAAACTACGAAAGAGCTGTTAACATATGGTGTACTTATCTATTACCAATAAATACTCCGTCTGTGCGGAAAGAGAATGGGCGTGGCGAAAAACGGAACTAACATTAAGATTTTTATTTGGCAATCAAACACAGTAATCTGTAAAACGTCAAGTTTTGTATTGATACGGATTTGTTTGTTGTTGTGATTACTTGCGGTTTTTTGTATTTAATCATGTCTGAAAGGGGTAAAACCTTACAAATACGGTAGGAAAGCACTACAGCGCCCTCCAATCTAAATCCCATTCTCTTTCCACACAGACTTCTTTACCTATTGGTAATATGTAGATAAATATACCATAATGTTAAAGACTCTTTCATTATTACCAATTTAATTAGGTTTAAACTACTTTATTGTTCTTATTATTTTTTAGAAAGAGCGGCCGAAAAAACTAAGTTCAGGAGCCAGTATTGCTATTTCCGGTTAGTATTATTTAAAACTTCTGTTCCGAGTATTTAAATAAAAAGTTACTTTTATCTAAAATATGTTGTATATTGATTACGAAGGATTGAATGCCCAATAACAATAGCAAATTAATAGATTATTTATCATTTTAGACTGTCTTAATAGGGTATTTGACAAGTTTTAGAACACGATCTCACGTTATTGACTTATGTTTATGGAGTCCGTAAAAAGTGGATATTAAAAAATAACCAAATCAAAAACTCCATTTTCAAGTTGCCGCGAAATCGTTTTTCTGGACAATATACAATAAAACGTCAAACGATACAATGTAATGTCACTTTAACTGGAAGTTTACTTGCGTGTGACGTCTTTTTAGACTCCGCCAATCCCAAGCGTTTTGGGTCACGTGACAATAGATAAGAAAACTATTATCTTTTTTCGTGGGTTTTTAGTAAAATTATGAATATTTTATTGTAAAAATAGTAAAAACTCCTGGCAATATTCATTCTAAACACAGATGCTAACAATTGGCACTTTGTTTTTAATACTGTCAAATACCCTATTGCGTAATAAAGTTGATGTTTCATAAGACTATAAAAAAAAATTAAAGTATTTTACCTATTGATTTTGATCAAAGTACATTTAAAGCAAAAGTTTCTCGCTGAAGTGTTTGTTGTGTAATGTATACTAATGCTATTTCCGTTTTTTATTTAATATTTCTTTTACTAATATCTATTTTCCGCCCTTTAGAAGTGGAGCGTCAAAAAGAGAAGGTGTTAGTCGGTAAATATTACATTACATCGTAGCGAGTACGTCTTGTTATTTGTTTGTGTTTGTTAAACATTTCCAACTTTCGATTTGTGTTCCAGTCGAGAAAGGTCCATCTACGACATCGCGTCACGGTTAGAATGTTCAAATAACATAAAATAAGGTTTCTATAATATCCGGAGGTTGTGCTAAGCGAAGGTAAGTAGAATACAACGATTTCGACAAACTTTGACTTAAAACTTGGAATGCGAGGATTTAGATCGTCTAAGGAAGGAAGAATATATTTTACGTCTTCATATTGTTTCCCATAGTCTGGCCTCAACCCGAAATCTAGGTATGACACAGGCATCCTTTGAATACAATCTTCTATTGGAGCAGACAGTCAAGTGGTAACTGCAGATTACCGGTGACCAAAGTTTTTAAGTATTTAGACTTGGATCCTCTTGACTCGAATTTTATTATCTACAAACGTCCCCGTGATTTCATTATCTGCATCCGGAGGTTGTACTAAAGTGCGTTTTATAACATAGTTCCTATGCCGTCATGTTTTTTTTTACACACACCAATTAGCCTAGCCCCAAAGTAAGCACTGTAGGGCTTGTGTTATGGGATGCTAGGGTAACGGATAGAATACATATACAGTACATATATAAGTATATTTATATAGAAATACATATTAAACATCCATGACTGGAGTACAAATGCTCGTATTCATCACACAAACATCTGCCCTCACCGGGATTCGAACCCGGGACCTCTCGAGTCGGCGACACCACGAAACCCGGCGTACAAACCACTCGACCACGGAGGTTGTCAAACAAATTGCTTTGTAAATTGTTGGTTAACAATTTACAAGCAATTTGATTGGTTAACAAGTTGACCAGGAGAGATGGGTTAACGTGATGACACTGTTGAAAGACAGTGTGCTAACATGACAGCATAGGAACTATTTGATGAAACGCACTTTAAGCGAAGTTACTTGTAGGTAACTTAAATAATGATAACTTATAGTAAGTATTTAAGGAAGCTAGTTAAACATTTTTGGTCTATCTTGACTTACGCTTGAAATGTGGCTAATAACGAAATGTTTTTACCCAGTTAGAGAATATTTAGAAACGAAAATTGACTTAGAATAGAATAAGTTAAATGACATAAGTATCTTTATATTTTAGAATTAAATTAAGTTTCTTTACATTCACTAGCCTTGCCGTTGGCAAAATGGAAGAACTAAATCAAAATCACCACCAAAATGTATCAACTCTCTTTTGTATGAATAAATAAATAAAAAAATAAAATTACGATAAGAAATGTTTAAAATGAGGAGCTGGCGGACAAAACGGTATTAATATAAATACATAAAATTAAAATTTACAGGAGCTGTATAAAAATGAATGACATCGCTCCAGTGAGCTTTTGGCATGGTTTATAATTTAGTAATTTTAGCACTGATTTAGGCGGGTTTGATTGAAAATTATTTGACATTCAAATTCAACGGGCCCGAAACCTCCGGACTGTAAAAAAAAAACGAGCGAGCCTTACAGTAGTAACGTATGATGTGTAACATTTAAAACCTCACCTTATATTAGTAAAAAAAGAAATAAAACCTATTAAAACAGGAATAAGCCATTTGAACATTATGTTCTAAAATCTAATCAAATAGCGCGCGCTTTCGCGACTTCCTGTTACACACGTTCCGTCTCATTTCACAAAATCACTCCCACAAATTGCAGGAAAGCGAGAGGAAAGATGTTACACATCAAAATAGTAGTATGTTCGCTAGCTTCTCAAATAGTAAATATCGTAATTTCACTCCGAAGCCCTATTCCATTCCAGCGAAAGAGTATGACCTACCGAAAGCTTGGGCCTGACAATGAAATGAAATGAAAGTTTATTTGCATGAAACATAGCTGGTAAATAATATGAAAAGTTCCATATGTTTCGCCCTTGGAAGAGCATACAAAATACTAATAAATTATCTAAAAAATCAAGGCAAGAACTCTTAAAAGCTCTAATTCTACAAACGAGTATCTACTATTGCCTTTGTAGGCTGTTAGCAAAATCTAGACTGGGAATAGAAGCAGCGGAGGTGAAAGAGCATTTTATATCTCTACTAGCGACCTTTACTTTTTTAAATCCCTCAGGAACCTGTTACTTTTATGGGATAAAAAGGATCCTTTTTATCAAATTTCATGATGGAGACACTATTACTACAAGCGTTTCCTAAACCTGCCTATTTGTTGATAGACCATTCCTACGATAGACCAGAGCCTTATCTCCTGACCAAAATTTTACGATATTCGTTCAGTAATTCAGGCGAGAAACACATGGTTGGACATACTATGGCATGTCGCTTTAGTTTAAGTAATGCTAGCACTTAACAGGTTCCTGAGGAGCTCGATGGCGCAAGTGGTTAGCGCGTTCGGCTGCGATCATTGAAGTTAAGCAACTTTCGCAATGGTTGGTCATTGGATGGGTGACCAAAAAATTTACTATCTCGAGCTCCTCCGTGCTTCGGAAGGCACGTAAAGCCGTTGGTCCCGGCTGCATCTGCAGTCGTTAGCACCCACCAATCCGCACTGGGCCCGCGAGGTGGGTCATGGCCCAATCTCCCTATTCCATCCATAGGGAAGGTCTGTGCTCCAGCAGTGGGGACATAAATAGGCTGATGATGATGATGGATGAATGCTAGCAGTTCATAAAGCATGATAAGATGACACTACGGTGTTGTCTGTGACCTGTGAGCTGCCAAATTTGCAAATAGCAAATACTAGATAATAGCCATGTGAAGTGCTAGTATGAGGATAGGAAATTACAATTGTATTGGAGTTTAGTTCGGTGAAGCAGGTGGTCAGCGCTTTCAGTGTGCGATTGTGGAAGTTAAGCAATTTTCGCAATGGCCAGTTATTGGAAAGGTGACCAAAACTCATCATATGATATCATTCTTCATATCGTTCTTGAGTGTTTCAGAAGGCCGCACCTATCCGCACTGGGCAGGCGTGCTAGACCTTGGTCCATTCCTCCCATGCCATTCGTAAGGACAGTTTGTGCCCCAGCAGTGGGGACAATAATAGGCTAATGATGATGATCATTAAATTATGTAGGGCGTTAGTACCAGGATGACATAGTCTAGCAGGAGCTGACATTAATAGAAATTATATTGATGATGGTTGGGGCTTAGAGCGGCGCAGCCTGGAGGTGGTGACGCGGTCGGAGTTCGACCTGTTGGAGGCGATGGTGCGACAGATCGGAGAGCTGGCGGGTCCATTGCCTTTACCTGCGCTGCCGACCAATAGGAAGCTGCGCAGTGACATCGCCGCGGGACACGCCTCGCTCACTGACACCATGGAGGCTATGCAGGTGATATGTTCAATATAGTCTGTAATACAAGCCACGGTGGTAATCATGATGCGTCAGATCGGAGAGCTGGCTAGTCCAATGCCTCTACCACGCGCTGCCGACCAATAGGAAGCTGGGCAGCTACAACATCGCGGGACAGGCCTCGCTCACTGACACGATGGAGATAGCCTCCATTTATATTTTTGCTTCGCTCCCAGTGCAATGGATTCTGTGAATTTCTAGACAAAATAAAGGATAAAGTTCCGAATTTGCCCGAAAACACACAATTCATGTAAAATTTAGGCCATAGTGTAAGTAGACTAAGATTTAGGTCAATATACGTTATTAAACTCTGTCGTTTTAGATCTTGACTTCTGCTTCCTTGACTATCGTTAACATAGTCATAGGTCGGACTGAAGTCACAAATATTTTTTGCCAATATTGTGACTTTTTATTTTTTAGGCTAGGTTATTTGAGTTGCTGTGAATGTGTTGCCAGTTGTCCGCTCGAGTGCACGCGGCGGAGCGGGCGGTCAGTCAAATGGCGGACCTGCTTACGCAGCTGGCGGCGGCCGGGGCGCTGCCGAGGGAGGTGGCTGATATGGTCTCTGAGCTGGAGTCGCCTAGAGCAGTCCAAGTAATCGCTTACATTTCTATGGTTATAGGGAGGTAAACGAACTTATGGGGCATAAGCCTGATAGTAGGTGAACTAGAGAGCAAGATTGATCGATTTTTTTTTATTACTCACACACAAAAGAATGCAAAAAAGGACATGTGCTGGTCACATGCGATAGAAGTGAAATCAACAAAAATGTGAACACACCTGTGTTAAAATCAACTCTCTAGGTCCCGGCCGCGGCCGCGGGCCGCCTCTGTCGTCTGTGAGACCCTATAAGCGATCTTTTCAAGACAAGGTTGTCAGCAGTAAAGGATGGTGAAACGAAGAGGAAGTTGTGACTTTATATTTGATATACCGCGAAAGTCATCTTCGTCCATCATGATCTAACTGGATCATGATACACGAATAATGGAAACTGACTTTATGAGTTACCTTATATTGAAGTCATTTTTCAATTTGACGACTCTGTATATAATACAATGAGAAAAAAACAGCCATTGCCGAGTTTCTTGCCGGTTCTTCTCAGTACAAGGTCTCCCGACGTAGATTTGCGAACCGATGGCGTAGCTTTTCGACATTCACAAGTGCTTGTAACAGCCTAGACTGAATAAACGATATTGAATATTGAATAACTCAAAAAGTTTTTAATGACGTTGAGTAAGCCACTGCGACATAAAACATAGGCAGTTTACGTAACATCGATTATCGCATTTAAGACTAGCCTAAGGAACTGTCACTATTTGCCAAAAGGGGAAAGGCACTGGTGTTTCCTACCGGGAAATGGAATGAGGGTTTTCAGGAGAATTTACTACACCAATTGGCGTGACATGAGGTTTGTATGAAGTTTTTGGCGTGAATAAAATGTGGTGAGGCGTGTAAATAGCCCGCCACTATGTTTTGTGGCGCCCGGACAAGAAACTTGGTGACGGGCGTTCTATTAAATACGAGCTGGTTGAAGAAGCACAATAAAGAAATACATCAACAATGAAAACAAGTTAGATAAGGTGCAATGCCAGCAACGACTGGATGTCTTCCTGCTCGTTCCCTGGGCTTGCATGCGTGACAAGGTACACAATCGATTCTTATGAGGCTCGAAAGCAAATGGTGTTGTCTGCCAGTAAATATTATTATTATTAAAATTGATCCATAGACTATGATGACATACGTGATTCGACGGATGAGTAGAGGTGTATTCCGAATCGAACACCAGTACGCTGGCGAGCGGTAATGACGTCATGATTTCGACGCCATATTGCACTGGTGTCGTAGTGGTGTTGGCAATATGGCGTCGAAATCATGACGTCATTACCACTGGCCAGCGTACTGGTGTTTGATTCGGAATATACCCTAGACCTTTCGACTCAGTGCTGCCAACTAGTGCCCATGATTTCAAGAAAACCCTCATCAACAACACTCTTGATGCTTTATATTTTCCTTTAAGGTTTAAACTGCTAGGCGTCTGAGTATCAAAGTGGTCAGTCTACTCACAAGACCAGATCGAGTTTTTTATCCAGCTTAAATAGTGTTTCTACACGAGATAATAACAAAAACTAAGTCCTCTGCAATTTGCGTTCATCGTCAAGTATGTACACACCTAAATAATATACAAGATCGTTTGTCCTCCTTAAACTAGGGTGAAATGAAGCGCAGGCCCAGCGCCGTATCGCATAAGTCGGTGGGAATACATCCCTCGATGCTGGACGAGCACTCGGAGCCGAGGGTCAGCCGGGCGCCCTCCAGGTTCTCCGTGGCGGCCTCGCGAGCCTCAATGCGGAGCTCCATGGTGCCGCCTGCATCTATAGATGAGGAGATGCCTGGTGTAACCCACCCAGAGATGGAGTTAGTCTACTAATATTGTAGTTCCTTGAATTTAGTTTTTAAATAGCAGGTCCGAAACCCACCAATCCTCACTGCGTCCGTATGGTGGTCACAGGCCAGTCTCCTTAATCCATCCATAGGGAAGGTCTGTACCCCAGTGGGGAAATTAATAGGCTGATAATGATTATGAGGTTCAGAACCAGTCTTTAGGAGATCAAGGGCGCAAGTGGTAAGTTCCGTGGACGTTAAGCAGCATTCGCGATGGCCGGAGGACTCTATGCTGAAGCAGTCGGGGCCGAGGGTCAACCGGGCGCCCTCCGTGGCAGCCTCGCGAGCCTCCATGATGCCGCCCACGTCTGTAGATGAGACCAAGATGCCTGGTGTCACACACCCGAAGGTGGAGTTAGTTGATAGCGTATTGGATCAAATTCGTAAGTTTCGTAATGCAGTCTATCAGATGAATAACCAAACATGTATTATTCGAATTACTTCGTGCTATGGAAGGTACGTTAAGCCGTTAGCTCCGGCTACATTATCCCGGCTCTGGGCTGGTGGGTTATGGCCATTCTCCCTTTTCCATCCATGGAGAAGGCCTGTGCACCAGTATTGGGAACGTTCATAGGCTGATGATGATGAGGTTAGAAACCAGTCTTTAGGAGGTCGATAGCGCAGACACAAATGGTAAGGGTGTCCGGTCTCCGACCGTGGAAGTTAAGCACCTTTCGCAATGGCCAAAAGGCTGGTACCTCTGGATGCTGTAGCAGTCGGGGTCGAGAGTCAGCAGGTTACGCTCTCGGTACTTCTTGACGGTCTCCCGTGCCTCAATGAGAAGCTTCATAGTGCTCGCGGGATCTATAGAAGAGGCGGAGATGCCTGGTTTTACCCACCCGGTGATGGAGTTATTGATAGCATATTTGGGTCAAATAGCATGTGCATGCAATAATGAAGTTTGATTATTGATTTTTTTTATTACATTTTAAGTTGATGAATATAACATAATTGTGATGTAGAGGTATCGATAGTTGGTAGAGTAGGCCCATCAGAATCCGAGGCCGCGTCGAGATGCAGCCAGGGAGGGAGGTCGAATGGGTGGGAAAGACAGGGAGAGGAGAGGACGGTTTAATTATAGTGAGAGGCGAAAGAAGAGGAGAGGAAAGGAAACGAAACAGAAAATAAATAAAAGGTTTAAAGGATGGGAGTAAGAGTGTAAGGGAATAGGTTTAACAATCTTGCATAATATACAGCGATTGACGAAATATATTCAATACTAGTGGCCTGCCCTCGCTTTGCTTCGGTGTAGAGCTGTAGTGTAAACTATACTTTTTGTTCTCAGACTTGTGCTATAAAGAATGACTTTATTTATATAATTACACGTGTTATTGTGAGTCAGCCATAAAAGATAGACATATGCTGTTACGTGATATTTTTTAGACAATTTTATGTAGAATATTTCCGTCATACATGATTTCTATGTAACTTTAACCATTAAGGCTGCACCCGCGACAGAAGCTTAAAAAATGGAGTAACTTCTCCCGTTTTCCCAACATTTCCCTTCACTACTCTGCTGCTATTGATTGTAGCGTGAGGAAAAGTATACTATAACCTGCCCAGGAGTATGAAGAATAATTGTACCAAGTTTCGTTAAAATCCGTTGAGTAGTTTTTGTTTCTATAAGGAACATACACACAGACAGACAGACAGACAAAAATTTTACTGATTGCATTTTTGGCATCAGTATCGATCACTAATCACCCCCTGATAGTTATTTTGAAAATATATTTCATGTACAGAATTGACCTGTCTACAGATTTATTATAAGTATAGATTAAGTGTCTCATAGACAGACGCCGCTCGCAGCCGCAGGCCGCGTCTGTCTGTTAGACACTTAAAATTGAATATATTTCGTCTATAATATCAGTTATAGTTAAATATTAAACAACAATAATAAACACAGACTTAACTAAATGAATAAGTAACTACCTAACAATTTGTTTGTTTGTTTGTTTTATACAGTGTCGCTATGCAAGCCCTCAGAGAGGAGCTGATGAAACAGGCGCAGACGATAACGCACAAGGCGAACGCGGTCGCCGACAGTGCACACCATACCGCCAGGGACGTGTGTTAGTAACATAAAAAATACTATACTGTAATAGCCGTCAATATTCCATTAGTTTTCACAGTGTTGTCATTGCGCAGGGCCGTATTTACAAATCTGGCGAAGGTGAAGGGGGGGCCCTTCAGGCCACTTACGATTTTAATTTCGTCTTCGTCGTTTAACTTAAAAAAAAAAGGTTTTTTGTAATATCTTATATACATAAAATTTAAAGGTGACTGACTGCCATAGTGATCTATCAACGCACAGCCCAAACCACTGGACGGATCGGGCCGAAATTTAGTATGCAGGTAGATGTTATGGCGTAGGCATCCGCTAAGAAAGCATTTTGATCAATTCTACCCCCAAGGGGATAAAACAGGGAATCAAAGTTTGTATGAAACTTTGTCAATTTTAAACCGATCGGGCTGAGACTTTGCATGCAGGTATAAGAAGAATCATAGATGAATGTCATTGTGTATAATACAAGCCTGAGAACAAAAACTGAAGCCTACACTTCAGCTCTACACCGGAGCGAAGCGAGGGCGGGCCGCTAGTTCCGTAATAAATATCATTAATAACTTTGATTCATAGCTGAGAAGCTGATGATCGCCATCGGGCTGAGCGACCGCATCTCGACCCTCAACGGGCAGGTGATGGACTACGCCGAGCAGCTCAGCGGCTTCGATACGGGGCTGTCTTCGCAGGTTCCAACACATTTTATGTAAAAAGCAGGGCTGTTTTAGTTTAGTTCTTCAGGGCGGTTTCCGCACTTAGTCCTAATTATTGGACCATTGTGCGTGTCTCAAAAACATTCCCGTTTACTCCAGCCAGCCTATATCGGTCCAGAAGGAAAGCAGCCTTGGTAGACTGCTGCAAGCTTCCGGAAACGATTCTGGCGACTGGAGAAGTCGTGCCCGTTGGTCGGCCACACTCCTGCATTCCATGATGACATGCTGTGGCGTTTCTTCTGCCTCTATGCATCCTCTGCATAGGGGGCTGTCTGTTACTCCTATTGTATATAGGTGTTTGTTTAGGGGACAATGACCAGTCAGGGATCCTATAATCCTGCGAAGTTTGTCCTTATTTAGTATGGTAAGGGTGCGGGCAAAACTGTTATTTGCCGCCGGAACCGCGTTTTTCCTTTGTCGGCATCCTTCACCTGTCTCCACTCCGTCAAGTGTGATTTCTGAGTTATTTCACGCAGCCACGTTTTAATTTGGGCTTGAGGTATGGGCAGCAAAGGTTTCGGACCATACACTTTTGTGTCTGCTCCCCTCTTAGCCAGTTCGTCTATTGCGTCATTTCCAATTGAGCTGCTGTGTCCTTTTATCCATTGCAGAGTTACCGTGTTGCTAACCGCAATGGATTGAAGTGTCTTGTGGCACTCCATTACTAGGAGAGTTTATTGTGTTGCTACGTAGGGCTTGAAGCGCGGGTGCACTGTTAGAGATGATCTTGATGCATGGCTGTTGTACTGAATGCTCCATCGCATTGCACCATTAATGGTGCAGATGAAACTTATTGGTTTCCTTTGCATCATTAATATGAATACTGCTATTTCCCCTTTCTTTCCTCGTAATAAAAAATTAACTTAGAATGAACAAATCAATTCGTAATACTCTACTTTGTGCAACAAAAGTTTCACTCATTGTTGTAACGAAAATTAATTCCAGTCACAATTATTGAAATAAAATTATAACTTGCATAGAAAAATATCGAGTTATGTAACTGCACTTGTAGTATGTATCATTACAATGGATTATATGGATGACACTAATCAGTTTTAACAGCACCATTAATGGTGTAAGTAAAGAAAGAAAGAAAGAATTTTATTAGCCTTAAAAAAATATAGATTACACAAAACAAATACAATTGTGGCGACTGGATTCCAAGAATGCTGTCTTGATATAAGCGTCGACGCGCGGTCCGCGGTGACGCGAGTCAGTCGCACATAACCACCGATCTCGTCAGGTTCATTCTTAAGTCATTGTTAGAAAATAGACAGTATATTTTGGAGTCAGAGTAATTTAGATCAACATTGGTGAAGTGAATAAACAGTCAGTGATTAACCATAACACCTTTTATTTAACATTCACATTAGGCACCCCTAACCTAACGAACTAATATAATTTCTCCAGAAATAAAAGCCTAAAGTGGTAAACAATAACAGAAAAAAAAGGCCAACTAGGTCCCTGCCTCAGCATAGTGCCACAGCGACGCCAGGGCCGCTGCGGCGCAGATGTTCTGGCAGGGCCTAAGGTTGACGAGGCTAATAACTATATGAAACAATTAATTGCAAAAAAAACACATCTATACTTACTAACAAAAAATACTAACATAGCGTAGTGATTTATCAACGCACAGCCCAACCTATTGGACGGATCGGGCTGAAATTTGGCATGCAAGTAGATGTTATGACGTAGGCATCCGCTAAGAAAGGATTTTGATCAATTCTACCCCGAAGGGGATAAAATAGGGTATGAAAGTTTGTATGAAACTTTGTCAATTCTAAACCGATCGGGCTGAGACTTTGCATGCAGGTATAAGAAGAATCATAGATGAATGTAATTGTGTATAATACAAGCCTGAGAACAAAAACTGTAGTCTAAACTTCAGCTCTACACCGAAGCGAAGCGAGAGCGGGCCGCTAGTGATAATATAAAACCTATAACTTTAAATAGTTAAAGACAGTGCCGTCTTTGACCTATTGGGGGCCCTGGGCATATTAGGATAATGGGGCTCCTATGACTACCGTTTGGTGATTTAACAGGAACTAGGGACCTTGTATTTGATCTGAGGGGGCCTCCTGTCGATCGCGGGGCCCTGGGCACTTGCCCAAAGTGCCCACTGGGAAAGTCGGGTCTGGATATAGAAATGTGGTGCTCTATGGCACTTACTCTTGATGACGTTTGGTGCAGATGACGAGTTTCCGCGACCAGATGACGCAGATGCGCGGCGAGCTGAAGGAAGGCCTGGCGCAACTGGCTCTCGTCAATAACAACGCGGAGACCGCTGGTCAGTGCTCTTACTTACTCTTATTTTCTCAGCAACGGCTCTCCTGTAGGAATTTGTAGACATAGACAAGTTTGGTGGTTGTTAATTGGTTCTGGTGCAGTCGAGAATAAGGGTACGGCTAGAGTGCACTCAGATTCAGATTCAGACTCAGAAAACAAGCGCGAGAAATAAACAGTGTAGTTAAAGCAGGGTGGCCATAGTGGCAGCAGGCAACCTGCTTAAACTACATTGTATATTTCTCGCGCTTGTTTTCTGAGTCTGAATCTGAGTGCACTCTGGCCGTACCCTAAGGCAGAAACAGGCTTTTGTAAAGCCGTGTGAGGAGCTCGATGGCGCAGGTGGTTAGCGCATTCGGCTGCGATGGTTGAAGTTAAGCAACTTTCGCAGTGGTCGGTCATTGGATGGGTGACCAAAAACATCTATCTCGAGTTCCTCCGTGCTTCGGAAGGCACGTTAAGCCGTTGGTCCCGGCTGCATCTGCAGTCGTTAGCACTCGTCAATCCGCACTGGACCCGCGTGGTGGGTCATGGCCCAATCTCCCTATTCCATCCATATGAAGGCCCGTGCCCCAGCAGTGGGGACATTAATAGGCTGATGATGATGATGATGAGTGTGCGCATCGCGTCGCGTCGGATGTTTCTCATGTGATTCTTGATCATAGACAGGAGATCTGATTTGACTTAACAGGCTTCTTGTGGCGTTGCGTTGGGTCGGGTCGCGTTTCTTAAGTCTGTTTCTGCCATTAGGCAGCGTATTAAATGAGTACACCTACACTTACTGCATATATGTTTGCATACAAGAATTGCTTAATAAATTATTTTATATGCTTTTTACACTAAGAATTTTTTTGAAACAAAACTTGTATAACAGGTCAAGAATGTTATGTGCCGTTTAGACAATGCAAGTCATTGATTAATTTAATGTTATTGTATGCAACAGGCAAGAATATTGCATCATGGAAATAGCCCTTTACTTGAAGGACGGAGGGGTTTTTCATAGTAAATTTTTGATCACCCATCCGCTAAGCGGGCGATTAGGATAGTTGCTTATCCTACTATTATTATAAATATGAAATTCTATATATTTGTGTCTTTGCATGTTGTTACTCAATCATGCTAAAACTACTGAACGAATTTGGATGAAAATTGTTACGCATATGGTTTATGATCTGGATTGAGACACCTACTTTTTATCCCGAGAAATTTTAAGGTTCCTGTAGGATTCCTAAAAACTCAACTTACGCGAACGAAGACGCGGGTTAGCGCTAGTCCTCCATAATTGCAAAATGAATGCCACAATACCACTACTTGGTGTAGCTTGTCGACTTCAAACAACAATCCATTAAACCTAATTTTTATGAAAGTGCTCATTCGAAACATTTGAACGGGTGCTGCCAGCGGAGATGAGTCTGCCCTAACTTCCTTAATATTGAAGTTACTGTTTAGTCACACTTAATATATAAATAACACTATTTGTATTTATACTGTATGGCACAGCAATCAAAATGCAGGTAAACAATTAATGTATATTTAATAATTATGTAATGAAAAGTGACTTCATGAATCACCTCTGAAGTCATTTTTCAATTTGACGACTCTGTAAATAATAAAAGTTTCTTGCCGATTCTTCTCAGTACAAGGTCTCCCGCCGTAGATTTACGAACCGATGGCGTAGCTTCTAGACATTCAAGAGTGCTTGTAACAGCCTAAACTGAATAAATGATTTTGATTATGATTATGATTATTCTGAGTTTAATTGGTGAATTTTATAAATGCTTGAATGATTTAATCGACCATCATGAGATGAGTTTAGTATTTTTATTATTCTATATCATATTAGAAAGTTACCAGCTTCTTAGCGACTGGGATTCCTTTCGTACTGAATATCCTGGTGAATGGAGTAAATAACTAATCCTAATAATATTATGAATGTAAAAGTATGTTTGTTTTTATTTGTTTGTTTTTTTAAACACTCACACCAATTAGCTTAGCCCCAAAGTAAGCACTGTAAGTCCATGACTGGAGTACAAATGCTCGTATTCATCACACAAACATCTGACCCCATCGGGATTCGAACTCAGGATCTCTCGAGTAGGCGACACCATGAAACCCGGCGTGCAAACCACTCGGCCACGGAGGTCGTCAAAAGTTTGTATACTTGTTACTCAATTACGCAAAAATGATATATATCTATAAATACGTAAAGATAATGTTTATGATATTATATACTGCATATTCATAGTCTCATTCAGTCTCGTGACAAAATAAAGTTCATTATTAAAATATGTTCTTCCTATTGTCTTCCTGAAGTTAATGTTGTAATGATTAATATACAATACACGCATCAAAGAAGTCAGCAACATGTATAATTTACACAAACTGCAGGTTTCATAAGTTTTCATATTTTTTTATATAGTCATGAAATGTATATTATTTTATTCTAAAGTTTTTTTGCTTTAGTCACTTCATAAATCAATTTGGTTATTATTAATAAAATAATATTTATATTTAATTTAAATTAAAAATTATAGATATTTATGTTATTTACGGGATATCTACGACTTCAGTTACTCCGTGATCATGGCGTTTGCAACAGTGCCCAATTATCGGTAACTCGCTAAAATCAAGGTACTTGGTAACAATCCCGTAAATAAAATAAATTACTATAATAATATCAGTATTGAAAATATTAAAAATCAAGGTCGAGACTTCAAATAGTTCATGTTTACCTAGACTTTTTAAATAACTATATTTCTAGTTATTTTTTTTTATTATTTTAAAGCATGTAATTGCTTGATGTTTAAATATAAAGAAAATATAACTAGAAAAAATTCCACGCGGACCAGGACCATAACTATAATTGCTATTTCTTGTTTCAAATGTTTAATACTTGTAAAAGTATTCATTTGACATCGTGGGTTACCTATAATGCGAAGAGATGGCGCTGCCTTGCAGCTTAAGAATGGCTAGAAGAATTTCGACGCGGTCCGTGAGGGCCGCGGTAGCATAATTGGTCAGTGCATTCGCCCGGATTGCGAAGGGTGCGGGTTCGAGGCCCGTCTGCTGCCTGGTCCGCGTGGAATTTTTTCTAGTTATATTTTCTTTAGATTTAAACTATATTTCTATTTTGAATTCTTTCACGTTGACCATTCACGCTTGTCATGATGATGCGTGGTCCACGTCTCGCAGACATCTTTTTTGACCAAAACCTCTGGTTTCGTGCAGCGGTTACGGACTTGACTGAGCGGTACGAGCTGCTGGTGTCGGAGATGGGCCGCACCACGCATGCCCATACAGGCCTCATCACCTTCCAGCAACAACTGGCTGAAGAGTTGAAGGTACCTTGACACCAGCACAAAATAGTCTCTCATGTCAGAAGGCAGGCCTCACCACCTCCCAGGAGCAATAGGGGTGATGACGTGGTACAGTAAACGAAATTCTATTTAGTCCATCAGTTAGATGATCTAAAAATAATGGACACGTATTTTTTCTTTGGGCAATCAACCAAGAAATGACAAAGTTATAGCGCGTCAAAGTTTGGGAGTAGGGGCTCGTAACGTCAGTTTTGAGTGTATTTTCACTTATAAGTGTACTCAAACGTGACATCACGCGACTTTTCAAATCAATATATCGCTGCAATGTTTATATTATGTGAAAAAAGAAAAAGTACGCGTCCAATACTTTTTGATAATCTACCTGATAAACGAAGAAAAAAAAAATAGTCATCGTCCCTATTGACCGATGAGTTGAAGGTGAGTAAATATCACATAGCAAATGAGTTAGTTGATGTGTCAGAAGGTGGTTGCAAAATGTTATGACCTTACAAGCCTCATCACCTTCTAGTAATAGCTAACCGAAGAGTTGACGGCAGGTTGTTACCAGATGGCAAATGTGTTAGTCTGTCGAGGCAGATGGCTGGTTCTTATAGGTAGAGGATTGATCATACCTTGATGATGAAAGTAGCTGGCGTGGCATAATTTTCTGCCGCATCTACTATATTTAGTGTAATCGATTCCATTTGAAATTAAAACATCAGAATTACTGCACCACCAATAAAAAAAAACAAGCGAGCCCTACAATAGTCGTGTATCGTTAGACATCTCAATTTTAACATTATATTCAAAAACCAAATTAAGTAACGCGGGTGTTATGATTTCATTACCTATTTATTTTATAAACACTTTGAAACATCTATAAAGTAAAACATTGCTCCTTTCTTTAAAAGAAAACAAAAACGTATGGACTTACGATGGGCGGCAATGTTATCAACCGATCACAGTTAGTATTCTATTTTGTAAAATATCTTCTTATCCAGACTAGAAATACATTATATATCCAATACAAACTTTCTTAAAAGTGATAAGGAATCCGTCATAGGTTTTTCTTGATTTAATAAAGCTTTGATACATGTAGGAAGGCCACGTCACGTTACGTCGGGGTCACCACTGTAGGAAGGCCAAAGGGGATGATCTTCCTCCGAGCTGGGTGATGGTAGCTCGGGGGCCGCGGCCCGACTGATGTTGGTCGGGCATCGTATATATGAAGAGTTAGCCTTCGAATTTCATTTGCGCGATGTAGGCTTCCATACTAATATTGATCGCAGTGCAGGTTACGCCATCTCTTGAGGATGGTGAGTAATGATTTCCTTCATCCGTTGTAAATATGTGGGGCATATAGATGTCGCCGCCACATACACATCTATAAAATAAAAGCCTTTTGGATAACAACTCGATGGTCTACTTAAGGTATTCGCAAACGCCTGTGGATTTTATTAAGAAGTTAATGGTGCAATGGACAACAACTCATCCGCGGGTCCGGACAGCAGACATAACGTCCCATAAGGTATTTATTACGTAGCTGTTTCTAATATCTCATCAAGTTCTTATTTTTAATAATAAGAAAGAAACCATTAAGAGTAATTCCTTGTCACGCGCTTCCCCGATTTCCTGTTACACACTTCCGACCTTAGTTCATGAAATCATTCCCACTAGTGTTGCCGAACTATCGATATGAAAACTATCGACAGTTTACATCGAAAATCATGTACCCTATCGATAGGCCTATCGCTATAGCTACTAAGTGTAAAAATCATTAAATTACTCATTAAAAACTGCCTCTTCCTTGTAATTGTGAAGATTGTATAATCATAGGACAGCACTTGGAAAATAAACGTAATTCACGAAGAGATTTAAATTTAGCAGAAGTTCGAAGTGATAATTCTGAAGGAAAAGAAGCTGTATTCACAGTCGATATGCAAAAAGGAGTACTACTTTTCACTAAATCTCGTTCTCTTTAACGAGTCATTTGTGCCGCCAGGTAAAAATAAAAATGCTCTATGCATCTTATAGCATAAAGGCGAAAGCGGTAGAAACTATCGATAGCACAGAACAAGGCAATACTATCGAATGAGTGCAATAGTATCGATACTATCGATACTATTGTAGTTCGTTAATAACAAACTATTGATAGTATCGATACTAACGATACCGTTGATTTTATCTGCAACAATACTATCGATAGTATCGATACTATCGATAAGCCGATCGATTGTCATACGATTGGTCGGCTATCGATAGACTATCGATTAATCCTCGATAGTCGACTATCGATCGGCAACACTAATTCCCACAAATAGCAAGAAAGCGATAGGAAAGATATTGCACATAAAAAACGTGGCAAGCTATTTCCACACGAGATCAAAGGTCTAATGGTACCATTAATTCTGCTTCCACTTGTACTCGCAGAGTTTGGTGGAGTGCGTAGAGATGCTGCGTGAACAAAAAGCTGACCGAGATGAAGTTTTGGACGGTTTGAGAGACAAGGTACGTGTAAACAGACATGTTGTACTAGGAGAATGGACAGGCAAGCCATAAGGAAACGATGTATTTTTATATGTAGATTCCAATCAAAAATATAAATCTTATATATAAAATTCTCGTGTCACAATGTTAGTTACGATACTCCTCCAAAATGGCCTGACCGATTTTTATGAAATTTTATATGCATATTCCGTGTAGGTCTGAGAATCGGCTACTATCTATTTTTCACATCCTTCAGGGATAATGGTTGTCCACCTGTAACGTAGTGTTCTGAAACCTACAATACGCTTTCGCGCCAAAATTTTAACTATACTGGGTATTGTAACGTAGTGTTCTCATATGGGTTAGGAGGAATGTTATCCCAGGAAATTGATAAAACACTACGTTACAAACCTCTAAAAATTTTTTCGACAATATTTATTATTTATAATGTGCTTTTAAAAAATACATACAGCCCTAAATTTTCTCTTCTACAACCTGCTCCTATTTTTATGGCGGTACGAAGTTCGCTGGGTCAGGTATTAGTATATAAAAAAAAATGGGTGCGTGTACTTATGTAGGCGCGTGAGAAGTTATCCTTCTTTGGCATCGTTTAAAATTAGTTTTTAATTGCATGCAAATAATTAATAACAATAAATTAATAAAAAGTCTGGAAAAGGACACAGTCAATAAAGTTCAGTTTTAATTTGAAAAAATAAATAAATAATCAAAATATTCAATTAAAATCGCTACTGAATATAATTTATTAGAACATATGTGATTTGCACTTGTATGAAACTCAAACACGTATTCCGAATATACAAACTAGAAACATGTGGATAAATATTATAAATATGAATACCTATAACTGTTACTTTATTACAAAAAATAAAGATGTGGTTTTTGGTTCTACTACACCAATGGTCAAGAGATGGCGCTGTAGTCTCCTGAATCGCGCTTTGGTTCCGTTGTTCCAGATTAATAAATACTTTTGATATTATAAATATGAATACCTATAACTGTTACTTTAATACAAAAAATAAACATGTGGTTTTTGGTTCTACTACACCAATGGTCAAGAGATGGCGCTGTAGTCTCCTGAATCGCGCTTTGGTTCCGTTGTTCCAGATTAATAAATACTTTTGATAGGCCTTCACAATGCAGTCGTTAGCACCCACTAAATAGAGATTCTATTTCTATTTTGTTGGTAGATTTTCTTAATGTGCGGTAAACACAAAAGTAACGCATGAAGTTGGTCGCTTTAGCGACCAACTTCATGCTGTTAATTTTTTGTGTTACAGTGATGCGCGCGCATCTTAAAATTTCACTCATCATTTTTTCATAACGCGCCTAAAGAAGTATAACTTCAAAAAAATGGGTGCGTGTACTTATGTAGGCGCGTGAGAAGTTATCCTTCTTTGGCATCGTTTAAAATTAGTTTTTAATTGCATGCAAATAATTAATTACAATAAATTAATAAAAAGTCTGGAAAAGGACACAGTCAATAAAGTTCAGTTTTAATTTGAAAAAATAAATAAATAATCAAAATATTCAATTAAAATCGCTACTGAATATAATTTATTAGAACATATGTGATTTGCACTTGTATGAAACTTAAACACGTATTCCGAATATACAAACTAGAAACATGTGGATAAATATTATAAATATGAATACCTATAACTGTTACTTTATTACAAAAAATAAAGATGTGGTTTTTGGTTCTACTACACCAATGGTCAAGAGATGGCGCTGTAGTCTCCTGAATCGCGCTTTGGTTACGTTGTTCCAGATTAATAAATACTTTTGATAGGCCTTCACAATGCAGTCGTTAGCACCCACTAAATAGAGATTCTATTTCTATTTTGTTGGTAGATTTTCTTAATGTGCGGTAAACACAAAAGTAACAGCATGAAGTTGGTCACTTTAGCGACCAACTTAAAATTTTGTGTTACAGTGATGCGCGCGCATCTTAAAATTTCACTCTCATCATTTTTTCATAACGCGCCTTAAGAAGTATAACTTCAAACATATTAAATATGTAACCACGATTTAATGATGACGGAACAATGATAATAGATTCTGTAGTAATGTTACCGTCCCGTCAGGCCGATAACTCCCGTCTGGCGGGTTTGCTGACGTCACTGGAGTTCGCTGTGGCGCGCGCAGAGATTGAGGCGCGGCTCGCCGTCTGCCATGACAAGTTCCACAAGCAGGATACCGCCTGGATGGTAATATAATGCTTATACTTAGTAGTACGACGAGCTGTTTCCGCATCTCGATACCATGTATAATGCGATTCAAATAAGAATAGGAAAGCCAATGACCTGCATCTGTCAAATGTCGCTTGAAAAGTACGGCTTGCAAAAAAATCCCTTTTTTAGCATTCGGCTAATTATGGAATAAAAACCAAACATTTGTAAACAAACAATAACAAATATTGTTAATCAATATTGGTTGATATTTTATTTTCATTTATTGAGCTTTGGCTATTCAATTCAATTCAATTCAAATTATTTATTTCAGAACTAGGTTCCATAGTGTTAGTTACATTTGATTTACTTATAAATATGTTAGTATAATAAAAAATTATAAAAAATTACATAAAATATTACTTTTGAATATGGAGGTTCACCCAGTGTCGTAGCAGAGGAGTGCCCCACCGGTCATTAAACACTCTCAGGAGGCTGTTGGTGCTAGAGCGGAGCCCAGCGAACACGGAAGCGGACCTCTTTCTAATAATAGCATAAAAGTCGTCCGTATGCGCCTCCGCAAACATTTTTGACGCGCTGCAACTCCACGCCAGTCTCAACAGTATCCTGAAGGCGTTGTTATATTGAATACGCAGGTCGCTGTATGCCCGATGTGTATAGTCGGTCCAAAGACTGCAAGTATAGAATGATTGGCAGTAAGTCTTAAAAAGAGTGACCTTTACTGCATCCGTACACCGTGCAAATCTTCGGGCCAGCTTATTACAATATGAATGTTTGTTATCCTTAATCGTCAACCAAATTTCACTTTAAGTTGCGTTCAGAAACTCGATTTAAAACATTGGTTTACATATGGGATGCATGTTCGTAGTAATAGTGCATAATATTTCATAACTACTCCGGCGGTAATGCCGAGATGAGCGGAATTGAAGAGCTTAATTCTGATTAATGTTTATTCTCGCACAGTCTTAATAAATAAATATTATTAAAAATCCGTTATTTTCTTTTCTCAATTTTAGTAAATAAATTTTATTAAAAAATGGGATGTTTTTTCTCACTTAATCTTAGTAAATAACTTTTATTAAATAAAAACTTTTTTGCTCACTCTACCTTTTTCGTTTGAATTGACAGCTATGACGTCACAATATGGCGCCCCGTCGATCCTATTCTTAGTTGAATTGCATTATAGGCACATTTTGCGTGAGGAATGGCATCAGTCAGTCCTGCCATCCTTCTTCTGCCAGGCTTCTACTAGTCTCCGTGGATTTCCCAGTAGAGAAGTATTTTGTCTTGCAACGCCTCTACACACCAGAAGAACGTTGGCGGCGGTCTCTGTTCCTCCAGGCAGACTCCGCACAGAGGGCTGTCAGAAATACCTATATTACAAAGTTGTTTGTTGAAAAGCCGTGCCCCAGATGGTAATGCTTATTGCACTGCACATTTTTGCATCTCAGAGTTTATTTCGCATCTGATAGATAAGTAGTAAATGATATTGTTACGTAACGGGATTGGGATCGAAATTATAATGCCAATTCTCGCTTGGCAGTTCTTTTTTGAGCACACAGTTTAGACAATCCTAAGATAAACTCAATTTTATCACACTTTAGAGGAGGCGTCTTTTAAAATCTGACACCACAGGCCTTTTACGATTCACATCTCCCCGTCCCTAGAATAAGTAAATAAAAAAAAAATACAGTAACGAATACCTTTATATGGCTTCTGCTGCCCCTTTCAGCGAATGTAGCCGCCCTCTTGGCCCTACGTCAAAAACGCCCCTGACTACACTCACCGTCCGTATAATAATCTCACCTTTATTGCTTCTGTAATCGTCCCGAAATCGCCTTGAAGTTTAATTGTCCCTGCGCGGGAAGCCGACCGACATCCCTTATATACGCTAATAAATCACTACAGTTCAGTACAGTAGAATTATTTGCAACTAGCGACCTGCCCTCGCTTCGCTTCGGTGTAGAGCTGAAGTGTAGACTACAGTTTTTGGTTCTCAGGCTTGTATTATACACAATGCCATTCATCTGTGATTCTTCTTATACCTGCATGCAAAGTCTCAGCCCGATCGGTTTAAAATTGACAAAGTTTCATACAAACTTTCATTCCCTATTTGATCCCATGGGTAGAATTGATCAAAATCATTGATCAAAAAAGCGGATGCCTACGTCATAACATCTACCTGCATGCCAAATTTCAGCCCGATCCGTCCAGTGGTTTGGGCTGTGCGTTGATAGATCACTATGTCAGTCAGTCAGTCACCTTTGAGTTTTATATATATAAGGGTATACTTGTAGTGATAATTTTTGGTTTATCGCGTTTGCGAATGTTCGTAGTGATCAATAGTTACAAGTATTTTTTTTATAAATATTCGTTTGTCATATAGACAGCTCTGAAGGATCTGTGCAAGGTGGCAGAGGAGAAGGCGGAGTTAACCCAACTCTTAGCGGCGCGCGACGACGCCAAAGAAAAGCTGCGGGAGTTGCAGGATATGCAGAATAAATTAGCTGCCGCCTTGGGAGAGCCCAAGGTGGGTGTCGGAATTTCCACTAGATTGTTGAAGTATTTAATTTAGAAATCGCAAGAACGCTCCTATGTCTGCTTGCTTCCTTTTATCTATTTTTTTTCATAAATAATACAAAACAAGCAAACGTTTATTGGCCTTTTGTTTTCTGCAGCATACATAAGGATATTTCATAGCTGATTTCTTGTATCTTTTTTTATTGTATTACTCTGTCTGTAAATGTATATGTATGTTGAAGAAAAAAATAAACGCATTATCTATCTATCCAGGGCCGGATTAAGGATTGTGGAGGCCCCGGGCCACTTAGGATTTGTATGCTTGTTAACCCATCGAAATTTTGTTATCTTTTATCCTGTTGTGGAGGCCCTCGGCCACTAAGGATTTTCATGCTTGTTGACCCATCGAAATTTTGTTATTTCTTAAGCTGTTCTGGAGGGCCCTGGGCCACAGCCCCACCTTTAATTCGGCCCTGAGATTAATATAATCAAATAATCATGTATGTTAGATGTACAAAGTACTGTAGGCTGTAGGTAAAGGTAAAAGAGCAAAATAAAATATCAAAGGAAAAGATGTTTACTAGTGTTTACTAGTTGGAATTTGAAAGATTTTTTTTCCGGAGTCTCTATTGTGGGGGCCCCCAGTTTGTGGAGGCCCCGGGGCTTTCGCCCCGGTTGCCCTCCCCTAAATCCGGCAGTGTATCTATCTATCTATAATTTATTCCATCAGGCGGCGCTGATAATGCGCGCCTTATCCAAAGGCGCGTACTGCGCGTCCTGCTTGTCGGGCGCCCTCATGGAGCCGGCGGACCCGTGGTACGGCGCGCCCCCGCCGCTGCCCCCCGCGCGCCCCCTGCCCGACCCCCAGCCTGACTGCGTCACTAAATGGCGACCCCCCGCGCCGCCTGAACGAAGGTATATGAAACCTCCAACTTTCATGTTTAGGTAGAATCAACGTATTCTATGGAAGACTATATATACGAAGCGCAAGATGCAAGGATGATGGTGTCATGGGGCATAGCGTCATATATCACCACCAGACTAAATAATAATAATGATAATAATAATAATGCTTTTATTTTTTCTCCTCACAATCCCATGCACAAAAATACAAAATTAATGAATAAATTAATGTCTTAATGACAAGATTGTGGAGAGACTGGTATCTGAACTAGGCCGCAGCCTGTATCTCAGAAGACCAGTACTCTAAAGACGTCACATCAGGTGTGGTTTGGAATTTCTGACACTTCTTACTTGAGTGATGGGCTTAACGAGCCTTTAGAAGCACGGAGGAGTTCGTAATAATAAGTTTTCGGTCACCCATCCAATGACCGACCATTGCGGAAGTTGCTTAACTTCCACGATCGTAAAGCGAATGCGCGCCATCGAGCTTTTAATGTTGCATTGATTTTGCTCTGTTATCTTATCGCGGTAGTCATGTTAGTACTGAAGCAGGTAAAGCCAAAGCTTACATCAGGGTTGCCAACCATAGAATTCGTTACTTTAGAATTGGTTAATTTATAATTCAACGGGTCAACTAGCCATAGACTGCTATTGAAGTGAAACTTCTTTATCGGCGTTGGAAAAAAAATTACCGTCACATTTTTCGGTTACGCGTCACATTTTTCCGTTACGCGCCATCTTTTTTTATATTAATAGTTGTTAGCTGAATGATCACACTGTCGCCGGCGAGAACTCTCTCTACTCGTTTGTAGCTGAGTGACAATAGTTATTAAAGATAAGACTCGCTCAGCCAAACTCGCATAGCGATACTCGCTCAGCGATACTCGCTCAGCGATACTCGCTCAGCGATACTCGCTCAGCGATACTCGCTCAGCGATACTCGCTCAGCGATACTCGCTCAGCGATACTCGCTCAACGATACTAGCTCAGCGATACTCGCTCAGCTATACTCGCTCAGCGATTCTCGCTCAGCGATACTTGCTCAGCGATACTAGCTCAGCGATACTCGCTCAGCGATACTAGCTCAGCGATACTCGCTCAGCTATACTCGCTCGGTTAAGCTGGCTTGGCTGTCAAAAGCCGTGCGCGTGCATTTTAACTCAGGACTGCCAATTCGTTTCTAGTTTCTACTCGCTTATCGTTCATCGTCGGAGGTGGAACATGTGCCTTAGATTACTGAGCCGTGTAATCATAACAGTTTCATAGGCAGTAATTTGTTTGTATTCATGTCTATGATAATAAAATCCTTTTGTTTAAACTTTATCTAATTTAACTTTATTTAACCAATTTCTGGAAAGTTGCATGTAGATCATTTTTCGAAAAACAAGGCCATAAAGAAGTTTCACTTCTTACGTGTGTACACTAGTACACGCACACATTTTTTTTAGTAAAATTTTCTTTAGATTCAAAGATCGAGCTTAAAATATAAATTACAATAAACAGAAACGGGTTTGGATACGGACGGTTTATGCTCCATGTAGGGTTGCCAATTTATATTAAAAGAATTAGAGTATATCTGATTTCAAGGCATGTAAATATAGAGTACGGACTTGTACCGCTTGGCTCGTCTATACAACGATATCGCCAAAGAGTTGCCAGAGCTAGATATCCATTTTCAGAGCTATTCTGAGTTTATGACACTGCTTAAAAGGGCTGACGCCCTTTAGCCGCTTATGCTTGCTTATGCTTGTAGTTTGTGCTTCCATTTTTTTTATGCTGTTTTTAGGTATTTGTGTGCCTGCTTATTTTGATAATAATAATATTATTATTTATTTTATTCTATCAATTATATGTTTTTTTTTTTTATGATTCAAATAATTTGTATTCTAAATAATTCTAAACAATCTGTATAAGTCTTTGTTACTTGAATAAATAAATTTATTATTATTATTATTATTTTGTGTGTGTGTTTTTTTAACGCATGCTGTGGCTACCTTAATTGTAAGTGCAGTAAGCTATAAGCAATTTGAGCTTTTTTTGTACCAAGAACTGCTGTGACTAATGTTGGTGGCCCTTATAATAAATAAATAAATAAAAAGCAGTTTTTTTTTATTTATTAAAAGGTATTTTTTGACATTTTTTGGAGCTTTTTTGGTTACGATAATAGGTATGCACCATTTATTCGTAACTGGAATTAGTATAGTAAATATTCTTTAAAAGAGTCGTCCTCTAATAGTGTTATAGATTAGAATAGATGTAGAGTACGCCTACATAGTATAGAGTATAATTCTCTATTTTAGAGTAGCAGTCGTCAGTTGGCAACCCTAGCTCCATGTTGCCTTATCTGACAAAATCTCGTACATATGATTAGTGTTCTCGTACCTCGTAGAGAAGACCATAAACACGTATTTGTACTAGAATTGCAACGAATAGTATATTCGGCAGTATACCGAATATTCGACGAGGCCCCTGATCGAATAGCCGAATATTAGGCAAAAGTATTCGGCTTGATTTTAGCGCCAAAAACTTGTACAGACGTGATGGTTTCGCGCTCCTTTGTTTTGTTCTAATCTGCCGCCCTCAAGCTAAAATGCGGCTAAATGACAAAACCAACTTTTGAGATATGGCCAAAAACGGCGCGTAAACTTTAAATTATTGCTTACTAATGAATTAAAAACTGTTAACTTGTTTAATACAGAAAATGATTAAATTATGTTCCTGTTTTATGTACATACCAATGATTACTTAATAAATGATTATAAAAGAAATGAGAACCTTACCCTTCTAAATTTTGTTTACCACAATAATTCAAATACATAGAATCCTCCATTTGTCCAATTCAAAAGATGATTATGCACCTGTGTTATGTACCAATGACTACTTAAATGATTATATAACAGAAATGAAAATATGAATATATACGTAATCAATCCATTTTAATTTTTCATTTTACCAATTATTTCTCTGTGACAAAATTTATTATTTAAGTATTCGGTATTCGGCCAAATAATATGTAGATATTCGGTATTCGGCCGAATATCTACATATTACATATTTTTTGCTTCCACCCTTATGTTGTCGAAGTTTCTCCCATTTTTTGCTTTGCTTCGGCCTTCATTATGCGAACGGCTAGGGAGTGGAACTCTTTGCCGAGATCTGTTTTCCCGGACCAATATAACCTGGACATCTTCAAGGCCAGAGTGAACAGGCATCTTCTAGGCAGGCGTGTACCATCCTAGGCCTCATCATCGCTTTCCATCAGGTGAGATTGTGGTCAAATGCACTGCCTATTATGCATAAAAAAAAATATAATAAAAGCAGCCGAATAGGCCGAATACTCATTGCAAATTTAATTTGTACGAGAATTCTCGTACGGTTGGCAACCGTGGCTTGCACAGTAACGTGTATTGTGCAGAGAGCACGCGTGCAACCGCTGGGCGGGCGGGTCGCACACGCGCGTGCGGGCGGTCCGGACGCGCGCCGCGCCGACGCCCCGCGCACTCGGCGCGCCCCACACGCGGGGCTATACCGACTACGGGGACGATGGACGGGTGAGTGTCCACTGTACACACTACATTATGTTGGAGTCGGGCGGGCGGGTCGCACACCGACGCCCCGCGCACTCGGCGCGCCCCACACGCGGGGCTATACCGACTACGGGGACGATGGACGGGTGAGTGTCCACTGTACACACTACATTATGTTGGAGTCGGGCGGGCGGGTCGCACACCGACGCCCCGCGCACTCGGCGCGCCCCACACGCGGGGCTATACCGACTACGGGGACGATGGACGGGTGAGTGTCCACTGTACACACTACATTATGTTGGAGTCGGGCGGGCGGGTCGCACACCGACGCCCCGCGCACTCGGCGCGCCCCACACGCGGGGCTATACCGACTACGGGGACGATGGACGGGTGAGTGTCCACTGTACACACTACATTATGTTGGAGTCGGGCGGGCGGGTCGCACACCGACGCCCCGCGCACTCGGCGCGCCCCACACGCGGGGCTATACCGACTACGGGGACGATGGACGGGTGAGTGTCCACTGTACACACTACATTATGTTGGAGTCGGGCGGGCGGGTCGCACACCGACGCCCCGCGCACTCGGCGCGCCCCACACGCGGGGCTATACCGACTACGGGGACGATGGACGGGTGAGTGTCCACTGTACACACTACATTATGTTGGAGTCGGGCGGGCGGGTCGCACACCGACGCCCCGCGCACTCGGCGCGCCCCACACGCGGGGCTATACCGACTACGGGGACGATGGACGGGTGAGTGTCCACTGTACACACTACATTATGTTGGAGTCGGGCGGGCGGGTCGCACACCGACGCCCCGCGCACTCGGCGCGCCCCACACGCGGGGCTATACCGACTACGGGGACGATGGACGGGTGAGTGTCCACTGTACACACTACATTATGTTGGAGTCGGGCGGGCGGGTCGCACACCGACGCCCCGCGCACTCGGCGCGCCCCACACGCGGGGCTATACCGACTACGGGGACGATGGACGGGTGAGTGTCCACTGTACACACTACATTATGTTGGAGTCGGGCGGGCGGGTCGCACACCGACGCCCCGCGCACTCGGCGCGCCCCACACGCGGGGCTATACCGACTACGGGGACGATGGACGGGTGAGTGTCCACTGTACACACTACATTATGTTGGAGTCGGGCGGGCGGGTCGCACACCGACGCCCCGCGCACTCGGCGCGCCCCACACGCGGGGCTATACCGACTACGGGGACGATGGACGGGTGAGTGTCCACTGTACACACTACATTATGTTGGAGTCGGGCGGGCGGGTCGCACACCGACGCCCCGCGCACTCGGCGCGCCCCACACGCGGGGCTATACCGACTACGGGGACGATGGACGGGTGAGTGTCCACTGTACACACTACATTATGTTGGAGTCGGGCGGGCGGGTCGCACACCGACGCCCCGCGCACTCGGCGCGCCCCACACGCGGGGCTATACCGACTACGGGGACGATGGACGGGTGAGTGTCCACTGTACACACTACATTATGTTGGAGTCGGGCGGGCGGGTCGCACACCGACGCCCCGCGCACTCGGCGCGCCCCACACGCGGGGCTATACCGACTACGGGGACGATGGACGGGTGAGTGTCCACTGTACACACTACATTATGTTGGAGTCGGGCGGGCGGGTCGCACACCGACGCCCCGCGCACTCGGCGCGCCCCACACGCGGGGCTATACCGACTACGGGGACGATGGACGGGTGAGTGTCCACTGTACACACTACATTATGTTGGAGTCGGGCGGGCGGGTCGCACACCGACGCCCCGCGCACTCGGCGCGCCCCACACGCGGGGCTATACCGACTACGGGGACGATGGACGGGTGAGTGTCCACTGTACACACTACATTATGTTGGAGTTTAATTAATTAATTTAAAAGAATCGATTTGCATATATAAGGGGCCCGGTATGAGAAAAATGTGAGGAGTAAAATCTATCGATGAATGACATTAATGACCTCGTTACGTTTTTGCGCGCAACCTCATCGCGCACCTTTCACTTTTAGCCATGGCAACGGATAAAAAACGTTAAGTTGTCACAAATGTCAATTAATAAATAAAATCGGAGCAAAATTAATGATAACGATTAAATAACAGAATATAGAGAAATGCCGGTAAGTGTCCAGCACTCTGGAATAGTGATTTTCAGTACAGATGGAATTATAATACATATTTACAAAATGATGACTAGTGTGTGATATTTTTGAAATTGTGTGTTTCCAGAAATACATAATAAAATATATGATGAATATCGATGATGTTAGATGATAAAATGTGTGACATGGAACCTATGATAGTCGAAACCATGGGACGATTCCTGAGGTATCTCTACTTGTAACCGACTTCTTCGGACTTGATTTTGTTTTGTGTCTGCTCAAAGACAATCGTTTTTAGAGTGTAAACTCCGGTCGTGCATCGGAGCTGACACACGCATTTTTTTTTATTTTTTAAGCATTTAACTGCTAGATGTTTAAATCTAAAGAAAAGTTTTACTAGAAAAAAATCCACGCGGACCAGGCAGCGGACGGGACCCGAACCCGCAACCCTTCGCAATCTGGGCGAATGCACTGACCAATTATGCTACCACGGCCCTGATGGCCGCGTCGAAGAAAATTTGCTTTAACTAAATCTGTTTTTAATTGTAGCTATACATGATGGAGGAAAGTCTGCAGCCTTGCCAAGAGTGTAACTTACGTTTAGATGATTTGGACGATGAGATCATCGAGCAAGGAGCCGGAGATCAGGGCGCCGGCAACCAAGACAACGGAGACAATGGTGATAATTCAATTTCATTTATGTAATTGTTTAACTGATTCAAGAAAGAACAGGTAACTTTGACAAATACATATTATTATCTGCTTTGGACCAGTCATAGCATTTGTTTCAATGTGACCGTTGGCAAATAGGTATATCTGTATGATTTTATTTATTTTTTAAGCATTTAACTGCTAGATGTTTAAATCTAAAGAAAAGTTTACTAGAAAAAAATCCACGCGGAAAAGGCAGCTTTCACTTTTAGGCACTTTTCTTTAGATTTAAACATCTAGCAGTTAAATGCTTAAAAAATAAATAAAATCATAACTATAATTGCTATTTCTTCTTTCAAATGTTTAATACTTGAAAAAGTATTCATTTGACATTGTGGGTTACCTACAATGCGAAGAGATGGCGCTGCCTTGCAGCTTAAGGCTAGGAAAATTTCGACGCGGCTAATAGGGCCGTGGTAGCATAATGGTCAGTGCATTCGCCCGGATAGCGAAGGATGCGGGTTCGAGTCCCGTCCCCTGCCTGGTCCGCGTGGATTTTTTTTTCTAGTAAACTTTTCTTTAGAGGTATATCTGTAGTTCCATAAGTGAAGTCTGAAGTGATAATTTTTAACTAAAAATAATATGTTGGTGAAATTAATAACGATAGCTTGCTATGTCTACTAAGACATAATATTTTATCAAGTAGGTAGCAGGACGATTGGGACTTCTCTCCCAGTTGTCTTCACTACCCCGTTCGCAGACTAAATGAACCTTCAGGAGTTGATAGATGTCTATTAAGCCTGCGCTTGTAAGTAGTCAATTTTAGTTAGGGGGTTTGACGATATTCTGGATAACGTAAAACCCGCTAGCTAAAATTGTTACGTTCGTATTGCGAGAAGCCCCTCATTTCACAGACGACTATAGACAAATAACGCTACTCCATAATGCACTATGGAAACTATAACTATAAGTACAAAGATTTTTGGGATAGAATGAAACAATGATTGAATATATAGAGGGTTGAATCAGTACATTTAGCGCGAGTGACACTTTTTGGAATACACAAGTGTCTATAACAGTGGTGGGCAAAGAACAGCCCGCGGGCCACATTCGGCCCGCCGACGGGTTTTCAATTTGGATATTATAAATAATAAATAAATATTTCCAACACTCACACCAATTAGCCTAGCCCCAAAGTAAGCACTGTAATGCTTGTGTTATGGGATGTTAGTGTAACGGATAGAATACATCTACTGTACATATATAAGTATATTTATATAGAAATACATATTAAACATCCATGACTGGAGTACAAATGCTCGTATTCATCACACAAACATCTGCCCCCACCGGGATTCGAACCCGGGACCTCTCGAGTCGGCGACACCATGAAACCCGGCGTACAAACCACTCGGCCACGGAGGTCGTCAAAAGTTTGTATATATGTTACTCAATCACGCAAAATTATATGGTCTGAAAAAAATTACTTTCGAAGATTGGATGTTAAAGAGTAGGTATAAAAGTTCAAATTGACCATATGTCAATAGTCATAATAACAGTCTGTTAGTCATAAATGTCAATTTCTACCCTAAAGGCCTTATTTAAGAATTTCATAAATTTTATGGCCCGCCATTCAAAAAGTTTGCCCACCACTGGTCTATAGATTAAGGCAGCCGCTTACCATAATCTCATCGGCTCTCTTTAAACATAAGAAGATTTATGAAATATTCTATACATTTTTCATGTTTTCCTTTTCAGAAGTCACTAAATTGATTGTTGGCGAACCTCAGTAATGACGGACATTTCTTGTGGTTAATATCAAATTATATATACGGGCAAATTACAGTGTGGATTACCAATAAAACATATTACAATCATTATAATTGTTTTAATGTAAAAATAAATAAATAATTTACATCGAAGCATATTTACAACTTATCATTCGCTTACTTATATAATTTAAATAAATACCTAAAAGATACTCTAAAGTTATAACACTTAAAGTAAATGTTTGTATAAATATACCAGAATGTTTTGAAGCACCTGGCTAAGGAGAAAGGATACAATTATATTTAAGTATTTATAAATTATAAATTCCAGCTAATCTTCTTAGTAAATAAATAGTTAGTTAATGCATGAAGATTCAGCGGACTTAAAGCAAGATATATAAATCAATACCTAAATCAAATAATGTAATGCAATATAACGGATCCTCTGGCAGAGATTACATAATATTTGATTTTGCGTTTTGCGTATTTGAGACTCCACGAGACATGCATATGGATAATGGATCATTGATACTTTGATTCGAATAGCATCGCTTATTAAAGTTTTTTAAAAGTCTTATAATACCTGCGGTAAAAGTTAATTAAAACTTTAGTTGCCATAATTCGACTATTTTCAAGTTCTTATTAATTAAAATAACATGATAATGGGCCCAATTCTGGCGTGATTCTCTGAAGTTAAAACTAAATTTAACATCAGTCTCTCCTTTTCATTCTGTATAGAGAATGACAAGGATATACTGCTGTCAAATTTAAGATTAGCCTAGAGATTCATGCTAGAATCGACACCAATGTCTCCTAAATCTTCATGCAATGAATGTAATCAAATATCGTGTGGTAAGATTTAAAACGTTCTTTATGGAAATGTGATTAAATAAATAGTTATTTGGTAACAATAAATACAAAATGTGATACAGGGTGATGTTCGATCGTCGAGTTTTGTATTAGTTATAGGAATAATGTCATTCTTATGGCTCTTTTCTATATTTCAACAATATGAAATTCATAAATTACAAGATTTATTTAGCAACAAAATTATAGTTCAACAACATTTGTCGGAAAACTCTGAAAGCAACTTAATCATCGTTTCAAAATATTATTTGAGATTTGATTATTTAAATTGGCACTTGTTCATTCACTGTTTTAACAAAATTCATTGTCACCCTGAAATCAAAACTGGCTTAAGCTATCTTAAAGATATGAATAAATAATTATCGTATAATCTTAAAAGTTTACCTAAAAATCACTTTTATTCATCGATAAGAGAATTTTCCCTTCTTACAGTGTGACTTGTAGACTTAAAAAAATTAAGTCTTTCGCATAGGTGTTAAGATTGTGATTTCATAACATAAATATTTTTCTAATGATGAATTTCGTTATGAAGCAAGATAATCAATTATAGACATCTTAAAAAACTGCTATCTATAGTCTTCAGTCAGATACCTTCTTTAAAATTGTATTTTAAAATACAAATATTGTATATTACGAGCAACTAAATCTCATATTTTCACGTAAATATTTAAACATTAAAGACAACGTAATAATTATACCTCTAAGGGTGAGTGAGAGGCTTATAAAACTTTAACCGCACAGTAAGGTAAAAAGTGGGTTGTACCATTTGACGATAGTTAAAATGAAGTCATAATTTGATGATCACAATGGTGCCGATTCTGGGCATGATTCTCTCAACTTAAAACTACATTGAACATCTGTCTCTCCTTTTTATTCTGTATAAGGAATGACAAGGATAAACTGTTGTCAAATTTAAGTTTAGGTTTACAGAATCGTGCCAGTATCGACACCAAAACCTGTCCAAGCGGGGTCAGTTAAAGTTATGGTAGAATTTAACTTTAATTAGTTCAACTCACACTAAATAAATAAAAGATTAACGTAATGATAAAAGTCATATCCGTCGAGAGAGATTTTATAAAAATCTCAATGTTTTTCATCCTTTTTCCGAGACTTTTAGAAAGAATTGTTATCAAATGCAAATTGTCTTTTGTAGTGTCGTGTTGTCAAAATAAATTGATTTGTGTATTACAGATCATTTAAGTCACAAATCGATAATTTACTTATTTTCATAAGATTCCAAAGACGTAAACATTGATTCAAGATTTTCATTGCAATTGTGATTTTTGATTTGTGATAGTGTAATTCTTGAACACTCTTGGAATCACATTAAAGTTGGGATCTTTTTAGTTACATTTTAATTTGAATTTTCGTTTTATGAAGTACCTATGATGATTTTCTTTGCATATAATAACTCAACGGTATTATTATGACATAGTATTTCCAAACATGCATTAATTGTTTGTATTTGCCTAGTTTGGATAATACCTCCATTCTTGTTATTTTTAATTACTACCGTCAAAACGATAAGAGTACAATAGTCATTTTAATTTCTCGTCAACATTTTCAACTTTAAAATTGTCTCAGACTCCAAAAAAAACTGTCCAGAAATTTGATGGCACGCTAAACGTTAGCTTTTAATATCAAATTACTTTTCAATATACATTTCGTAAGTCAATTTCATGCCATAGTTAACGATATCGTGTACATTCAGTATAATAGAACAATGAAACTGAAGCTCAACTATTCTTTAGTTTTCGTTTTCATTATAATATACCATTCACAAGTTGACCGTATAAAGCGTGGAATACATCGCACCTTTGGACTTAAAGTGACGTAACTTGAAAATATTCGTTATTTCTGATTGTTCATCAAATTGACTTTTTATGAAAGTATTCTGTATTATAACCCTGTGTAAAAAGATTTACTGATATACATTTTTTTTATTTAGTTGACTCTCATTTTGTTGCGAACATTGCGAGCGAAATGCGATTCGCTTCGCTTCCGCAATGAGGCGTTTTTGGTTGGATATTTTCTGAAGATTCTTACAGTTATAACTTGACTGTATAAAGCGTGAAACACAACACATTGGGAACGAAACGCGTTTGCTTCGCTTCGTCCTCCCAATAGGGGTGATGACGGGGTACAGTAAACGAAATTCTATTTAGTCCGTCAGTTAGATGATCAAAAAATAATGGACACGTATTTTTTCTTTGGCCAATCAACCAAAAAATGACAAAGTTATAGCGCGTCAAAGTTTGGGAGTAGGGGCTCGTGACGTCACTCTTGAGTGAATTTTCACTTATAAGTGTACTCAAACGTGACGTCATGCGACTTTTCAAATCAATATTACTCTGCAATGTTTATATTGCGTGAAAAAAGAAAAAATACGTGTCCAATACTTTTTGATAATCTACCTGATAAACGAAGAAATAAAATTTGTCATCATCCCTATTAGGCTTTTTATTGAATGTTTTTTTTTAAGTCCGTATTGGTTAGTTCTGGTGGGTTGTTCGTATGGTGTGGCTAGTGTGGCTGACACCGGAACCGCTGGCAGTCGTGGTCGCGGCTAGCGGCCATCACGTCGCCGAGCTGGTGGGCCACTTGCGCTGCGCCCGCGCTGCCTCCTCGGGAGATCCTGCATACCAAAGAAGCAATATCATCAATCTGATTTAAGACATGCATGTACGTTAGGAGCTCGATAGCGCAAGTGGTCAGAGAGTCAGTTTTGTAACAGTAGTATGGTATCTATCTAATGCCGCTTTCTATATATACTAAATATAAAATTTGTTGTAACTATATATCTATACCCTAAATAATGTAATGGAAGGTGACTTCAGAAGTATGTCTGAAGTCATTTTTCAACTTGACGACTCTGTATATATCAATACAGGGAGAAAAAAGCAGCCCTTGCTGAGTTTCTTGCCGGTTCTTCTCAGTACAAGGTCTCCCGCCGTAGTTTTGCGAACCGATGGCGTAGCTTCTTGACTTTCACAAGTGCTTGTAACAGCCTAGACTGAATAAATGACTTTTTATTTCATTTCATTTCATTTCGTTCGGCTGTGATCGTTGAAGTAAAGCAACGAGCTCCTCCGTGCTTCGGAAAGCACGTTAAGCCGTTGGTCCCGGCTGCATCTGCAGTCGTTAGCACCCACCGCATCCGAACCGCACTGGGCCCGCGTGGTGGGGCATGGCCCAAAACTCCCTATTCCATTCGTAGGGAAGGCCTGTGCCCCAGCAGTGGGGACATTAATGGGCTGATGATGGTGATGATGATAATGTACGTTATATATACTTTTCCAGACACAATGTACGTTATATATACTTTTCCAGACACAATGTACGTTATATATACTTTTCCAGACACAATGTACGTTATATATACTTTTCCAGACACATATATTTTCTCAGTTACCGTTATAAGTTTCAACGGTCTGTAGCAAAAATATAATTATGTTAGGTTGAGAATAATTATAAATTTAAAAAAAAACACGAAAAGGATGTTTTATAAACCTTCAAAACTGTTTCAAAACTTTCTGCCCAGTGTAACATTTATTTTTAACTAGAGATCGTCAAAATCGTATAGGTCGAACTTAAAAGGCTAGATGGGCCGATAGATGTGGCCGGTATATATATATATTTTTTTTTTCAATCATGAAAAAAAATAAAAAATAGTAAAACGTACATTAAAATGTGCACTGCAAATGTGTACTTGAACTGCCCAAAACCGCTCTATTGGATTTTTCATACCTGCGCAATTTATTTCTTGAAAACGGTAAGTAATACAAAAAAATTGTTTATACAAAAGTTGTTGGTAATTATGTACGATACAACTTAGCCATTTAAAGTTTTCCATTGAAATGATATTTTCAGGGTGAAAAGTGAAAACACCCTTTTTTTGAGACTTTAGTGCCACCTACAATGCGCATTTTTTGTTGTACGAGATTGCAACAATAACATAAATTGTAGCAACGCCCTCTACAATTATGGTAGAAAAAAAAGGTTTTAAAATGCATACAAAACAAGAAAAATGGGTTTCAAAAAATTTTTGACGGTTTTTTTGAGTTTTTCAAAAAACGCCTACGAGTTGAACATGCCCATCGCCAAGGTGGCTTACTGACGTCATTTGGCAACAGAAAAAACAAGACTTACCCTTTAGGTTTTTTTTTCACTGAAACGATATTTTTTTCGACAGATTGACTGTACTATTTGCTGTCCACGACAGTTATCATTAAAACTTAATTTTACACCACCTCGTTTTGAGCAAATACCAGTTTGTTGAAAAAAGTCTAAATTGTGTGGGTTTGCGGTTAAAAATATTGAAATAAACACTAACGATGCGGTGACATAACAAATTAATATTAAAGGCACTGTCGTACTTCTTCATCATTGTCATTCATATTGCGTGGGCATTCAAGACAGATTACTTTAGTAATGGAGGAATATCATAAATCACCATTTTTTAATCACTAATCAGTCAGATTAAGGCAGTGTTGCCAGGTGCGACTTTATATAAATCGGGTGGCTTTATAGAAAAGAACAGTAGATGTATGGAAAGTGCTACAACAAAAATAGTAGATGCAGAGACGTACTTTTGCACTCCCCCCCCTAGAATAGGTATAATCAAATCAAATAAAGACCACTAACGAATGTGTTTCTGTGGCTTCTAACGCCCCTCAAAGCTAGTTTTTTTGTAGACAATAACATTTCATCAGCCTATTAATGTCCCCACTGCTGGGGCACTGGATGGAATAGGGAGATTGGGCCATGACCCACCACGCGGGCCCAGTGCGGATTGGTGGCACTGTGACAATAACATTTATTTTATAATTATTAAGGTTACCGCCATTATTAATGGCAGAAAATATAACTCAATATGCTATTTAAAACAGAAAATCGTATTCTAAGAAAAACAGGAGATTCATGTAGAAAAACAGTAGAACAGGAGAAATTTCAGAAAAACAGGAGATCTCCTGTAAAATCTGGAGACCTGGCAACACTGGATTAAGGGCAAGATTAAATTATACTATATACGTATTGGATGTCGACGATCCGTCATTTACGTCTTGATAAGACAAATATTTTGTCCACACTCACACCAATTAGCCAAGCCCCAAAGTAAGCAATATAAGGCTTGTGTTATGGTATGCTAGGGTAACGGATAGAATACAAATACTGATTGTTACATATGTATATAAATAAATATGTATGTTTTATCTAGTAATAATATATATATATATATATATAACTCAAAGGTGACTGACTGACTGACAGTGATCTATCAACGCACAGCCCAAACCACTGGACAGATCGGGCTGAAATTTGGCATGCAGGTAGATGTTATGACGTAGTCATCCGCTTAGAAAGGATTTTGATCAATTCTACCCCCAAGGGGATAAAATAGGGAATGAAGGTTTGTATGAAACTTTGTCAATTTTGCATGCAGCCAGGTGTAAGAAGAATCATAGATGAATGTCATTGTGTATAATACAAGCCTGAGAACAAAAACTGTAGTCTACACTTCAGCTTTACACCGAAGCGAAGCGAGGGCGGGCTGCTAGTACAATATAAACATCCATGAGTAAGGTACAAATGCTCATATTCATAATATTAATATTTGACCTCTGACTGGTGACACATAAAAATCCGGCGTACATACCACTCGGCTACGGAGGTCGTCAACTAATGCTTTGTCTAAAACACATAATATACAAACCATGAGACAAACTCACAAAATTAGTCATACCTACATTAAGTAGTAAGTACTCGTAGATTAAATTGATGTTTTACGCTTTTCAATAGTGAAAAGGTGGTTTAAGAGAATTACAATTTGTCGAGGGCGAGAGTGTGTCCAAGCGATGGCACGGACTACAGGGCGTAGGTATAGGTAGGTATAGCTTGTCACCAAATACATGTATAATGCGATTCATATAAGAATAGGAAAGCCAATGACCTCCATCTGTCAAATATCGCATGAAAAGTACGGTTTGCAAAAAATCTTGGAACATTTTTTTAGCACCCAGCTAATTCTAGATTAAAAACCAAACATTTTTAAACAAACAATAACAAATATTGATAATTAATATTGGTTGATATTCTTTTTCATTTATTGAGCTTTGGCTATGGATGCTTGATAACCTAAATCGTCAACCAAAAGTCACTTTATGTTGCGTTCAGAAACTCGATTTAAAAATTTCGTTTACATATAGGATGCATGTTCGCATGTGACCTGCATGCTTATTCATAACTACTCCGGCGGTAATGCAGAAATGAGCGGAATTGAATAGCTAGATCCTGATTAATATTTTTCTTCGCACAGTTTTAATAAAGAAATATTATTAAAAATCTGTTGTTTTTTCTCTCAATCTTAGTAAATAAATTTTATTAAAAAAATCAGATGTTTTTTCTCACTTAATCTTAGTAAATAAGTTTTATTAAATAGAAACCTTTTTTGCTCACTCTAGTTGGTTTGAATTGACAGCTATGACGTCAAAATATGGCGCCCAGTCGGCCCTATTCTTATTTGAATCGCATTGTATTTTTTTTTAAATTATAACTTTTATTACATCGCCGCAATTTTTTGTAGTGACACTTCTCTTCGGAAGGGGTGTGAAAGGAAAAAAAAAATGGATAAGATGACACGGAAATGCGTCACGAGCGCCACACGACTATGTGTCACCGCACACGGGCCACACGCCACAGTCACAAACGCCGCCACGAGAATCTAGAAGCGGCTACTAAAGTGGCTGAAGCGCGCGACAGCGGCCGTCTAAGGTAAGGGAGAGAGGGGTGGGGAATCGCGCGAGCGAGCGGGCCACAAGAAGCGAGCAACGATGACTTGTAGCGTTTGTGGTCGGTAGCCAGTGTGCGGCGACACTATATCATACTAATATTATAAAGGCGAAAGTTTGTGAGTGTGTATGTTTGTTATTTATTTCACGTCTAAACGGCTGGAGGAATTTTAATGAAAATTTGGTATTGAGTTGACACCCTGGATTAACACATAAGCAACATTTTACTGCGGGAAAATATCCCTAATAAAACATGGATAACACCGCGGGGCACAGATAGTATATATATATGTGTGTATCTGATGTGTGCGTAGCTCTTCCCAACGAGCATGAGAGTTGGAGGGTAACTCGGAGAAGGCTGAAATGCTACGAGCGTCACGAAAGTCACATGCGGCAATATATATATACATATACAGAGCGTCCCACGGCCTTGTCACACGTTGGGAAAAAAAAAATTACGAGTGAAAAAGTTGCCATTAAAGAAATAAGATCTTGTTGAAATACAAATGGAAAAGTTTCCGATCCCACTTTCACTGGACTCTTGTTTATGTCATTCGCGCAGATGGAAAGTCCCACCCATAGACAAACAGTTGGAAGGCACTATAAGCTACATAATATTTTTTCTACGTTTTTTTTAATTTGTAACTAAATAATTTCTTGTAACTGTGAATGAAGGTATTTATCTTCTATGCTTGTAACTTTGTGTAACGAAAAACCATATCGGTATTCACCTCAGTAATAAGGTAACTGCACCAATGACCGACAAGAACCGATTATCTCATTTTTTTCTATGAACAATGAAAAAAAGTCAACAACCATCCTCCATTAAAAGACCACAGCCATATAAGCGTCTACAGCCCGTTGTTACCATATCGATTACCTACTCTTATTTTCATTGATCGTAGAAAAAAATCACGATAATTTAAACCTATTAAATTGTAATATCAGTTCCTTATAATTCATTTACATAGCTTTTAAATGAGGATATGGCTGAATGGTTTTCCATGCAGCTACTTTGATTGGACCGGGAATCGGATATACGCTTCGTCTATTAAAAACAAAACTACTTATATAAATTTTAGGGATATTTTTGACTTCGTATTTTACGGGGATTTTTGTCCGAATTGAAGCAACCATTTTGGGAACTAATATCCATCTTACAGAAGACAACAATGAAATAATAACATAACCTTTTGGAAATGTTGTATTTCTGATGGCGGGTAAGGATCCAGGGCTCCACGGGGTCAGGGAGCAACGCGCAAGTGATAATGCGAGCGTCTATCTATAGGCAATGATGGCCATCAGCAGTGCGCCATGCTTGTTTACAACCCCTTTTACATTAAAAATCCATTAAATGGTTTACTTTTTCATTTCTTACTTGAAAAGTCATTTGTTCAATAACTTAATGATTATGCCCACTTACAATAGGGGTGATGACGGGGTACAGTAAACGAAATTCTATTTAGTCCGTCAGTTAGATGATCAAAAAATAATGGACACTTATTTTTTTTTGGGCAATCAACCAAAAAATGACAAAATTATAGCGCGTCAAAGTTTGGGAGTAGGGGCTCGTGACGTCACTTTTGAGTGAATTTTCACTTATAAGTGTACTCAAACGTGACGTCATGCGACTTTTCAAATCAATATATCTCTGCAATGTCTATATTATGTGAAAAAAGAAAAAATACGTGTCCAATACTTTTTGATAATCTACGTGATAAACGAAGAAAAAAAAATAGTCATCATCCCTATTTACACAGAGACGTAAAAGGAAAGAAAAATTGAAAGTGTTTCAATTAGTTCACATAAAAATTTAAACAATAATAAGTCGTC